CTTGGAGCTCGAATAAGAAAGGTAAACAAGATTTTTCCTAGCAAATCAATTAGAGGAAATTTAGTCCGAAAAGTTGCAGGTTAAATTGTTGAAAATGTTAGCCGTTTTCCCCGAGATCCATCAATGTGCATCCCTTCCGATGGAAGCCAACCACTTGGCACGGAATTACAAATGGCTGAGAGTCTTGGCTGGCTGTCAGTTTGGGTTTCAGTTCTCTGTTTTGCTGTTTGGCTGTTTGCTGTTCTGTGACTTTTTAACCTAATGAATAATAAATTGGCCCAATTGTCACGCAAAAACAATGCCGCGGAAAATAGATGGATAAGGGTTTTTTGGGCATATACCCCACCGAGGAGATGATGTCAGTTCGGTCGTCTGTTAAGTTTCCTTTTCCCCAAATTGTAGACACATTTTCCAGCTTGTTGTTGTGTTTTTCTTTCTCGGTTGGGAAGGAAGTGTCGCCTTCGATAGATTTTGGCATTTGTTACACGGCGCAACTAGCATTCACCTGGGAAATCGTGGCAGGCATCTTGCAATGATTAGCACCTGCTGCCTTTCCTATGCCATTTCCCGTTTTTTGGCGCCCACTTGCATCTCCCCGAGCAAAAGTCAAAAAGTAATTAGCATATTGAAATGTTTGTGAAGGCCTCCGTGTTGCTTTTGAATAATTTAGACAGCATATTTGATGCACTTGCAATCGCTACATTTCCCACTTCTTTGCCATGTTGCGTGTTGCATGTTGCATTTAATATTTAATTGCGAAAAATCTATTGCTTGCGCGAGCAAAAGGGGTTAGATTGGGCGGCTATCTTTCCAATTTAACATGTATATTTGGGCCTTCCTCTGGCTCCTCTTAAAAGCGTGTCAACATCTTGTCAATCACAATTTGCTAAATAAAATGTAAATGTCACACAGAGCTCATGGAAATTTAGTTTGGCAAATGTGTTGATTGTGTTTTAAGTTTGTGGTCGCGAATAATTGAAGAGTGGTGTGGATTTCACTAGATTGATGTGGGATATTCTCTAGGGTAGAGCTCAATCAAAGATAAGAAGTGTGAGAGTTGGGAAAGGAAAAGAAATATTCAAGAAATAGTTTTACAAGGGAAATGCCTAGCCTTTAAAAAATAAATCTCTTTGTGTTTTCCGATTCTGATTTGTTTTTTTAGTCTGCTGGAAGTTTCTTTCATTGAAAATATTACAAATAATTTTTTAATAAATTCCTGCAGTTTAATTTATTTTATTTTTGAATTTTTTAAATACACTCCCAACTAAAATGCTTATTAAAACATATTAGTGTATTAACTATTTTAAATTCCTACTAAAATTTCTTTTATTTAAACTTATAAACAACAAATTAGACTTTAAACTAATCATATAAATTAAATATAAAATATTAATGGATTTAATTTCGATTTAAAGGCTTTTCAGTTTCCCTCCCAAGCTCATAAATATGCATTTATCTCGGTCAGCTAGCTTATGAAAAAACGCTTAAAATAACCCTTAAAAATAACCCTTTTTAACAATTAAAAACTGACTTAATAAGTCTATAATGCTAAATACCATTTACCCCTGTCTTTAGGGGCGTTGCAACTATTTATATTAAACAAAAAGACAAAAAAACTACAAATGAAAATTCAAAATTTTACATAATTTACGCCTGCGCAAAATCAAAACGTTATATTCCGTAGCAACAATAATCGGCTTTAGGACGCTCTCATTGGTCGCCGGTTGACAGGAAGCCGAACGAAGGCCGAGCGCCTGTCGTTTGCATAACACGCATACGCCGCATAGGCTCAAAGGATAAAAGCCGCCGTCAACGAGGGATGTTGCTTCCTTGTTTGGCTTTCGCTCGACTCGCGACAGGACTTCGTTGCACGTCCGGAACTCGTGCGTTCGTGGCTGGTCTGTTTGCCAGGATCACAAGGATACAACGTCAGCGGCTGGACAACCGTATTGCAGTTCCGGTGCGGCTCTCACACCGTGCAGACGTGTTGGCCTCTGCCTAATAACATAATAAGTAAATCCCCTCCAACTTGTGTGTAAATCTCAAAAGTGTAACAATCCTTTGGCTAAATTTTTGGTTTTATATAAGAGTTCCTGGAAATGGACACTTATATAATTTTGATTGTTGCTCAGAAAGCCCTTTATTTATCAGCTGGCTTTCGAGCAATAATTGAAACCAAATAAGTGATCCTGACAACGTTATGAAGTGTGATTTAGTTGTTAAAGGGTAAGTGTTTTCTAAAATAATGTTTATTTGTTAATATAAGTTTAATAATTAAGATAAGAAAGAAGAAAAACATGGTTATAAGTTCAAAACTAAAAAATCGTTGTTAAAAAGAGATTATTAAAATAAAATTATAGAAAAATATCTAGCCTTATTTAAACTAAATCCTGATTATATATACATATATTTGTTTAATTTATTTTAAAACCTATTATTCTACGGAAATCACTAGGTTACTTTTAGACATATATTTTTAATAGTTTTAAAAATGAAGTAATTTCTGAAGTAGAATATTTTATTTTAAATTCAGTTAAATAAAATTAATGGAAAGGTTTTTAAAAATGATGTAATTAACTATTAAATATATATTTTTTTCATTTTATTTATTTTCTCTTTATTGGGAAATGCTTTTAGGGTACTTTTTATTTTAAAATATAACACTAATAATGATAATTATTATTAATTAATCACAGAAATACCATTGAATTCTTTGGGGTGTTAAATTTAATGTCTCATTAATTTATTACTTGTATTACTTTATTAATTTATGTACTTAAATTTACATAATTTCTTATAAATATCTAAACAATTTTATTTTTGAAATGTTTAATATAAAATAAGACCTAATTTATATCAGTTCTTTCTTTTGCATAATTTTCCAACGCGTGAATTTACATCTATTAACATTTAAACATATTATATTTTATCTTAATTTAAAAAATTTAAACAATCTAAGACAATAAAAGTTTAAAGAAAAGGAAGTCAGCACTATTTATTTTATAAATAAAGCATTACCGCATAATCGAAAAGATATCACAATCTAAACAAAAAGACTTTTTTCGCTTGGTTCATTGTGCTCCCAAAAAACATTTCCTATTGCTCTGAACTCGCCCGCATTGACAACAACCAAAGACGACTTCCCCCTTGCAATTAGTCACCAGCAAACCAGAGCGTCGTTGAACTTTGTTCAACAAAAAACAAATTGTCAAACGCACAAAAAGTACCCATAAAAGTACCCACAAATCGAAGCGACCTTCACATTGAATGCGTGTAAGAGTCGTGGAGTGTCAATGCACCTGACAAGCGAACAAGTTTTGTGTTTTGTTATTATTATTTATATTCCGATTCGGTATATTCGCCTGTCAACCGACAGACAATGGCCACAAGCAATAGGTTTTTATAGCCAATTAGCATTTTTAGTGCGAAACTGCCGCGATCAGTGAACTCGATGGGGATGAGATCGGGTTTTCGGTTTTTTAAGGAACCAAAGTCAAGAACTATTACGTATTCTTTAAGCGTGTTTTTGGGTGATCTACTGAACTGAATGCGAACTATGACTATGAATTATTTCTGGTCTGACTTTCAGTTTCAATTCCTTATTTTGGCGGCTTCATAATTATTGAATTAAAAGCTTGCACTTCCACCTGCATCCCAGTAAATGGGAAATTTAAATACGACCTCAGCATTTGCATTGAGTGGTGTGTGTGGGCGTGTGTATTAGCCACGTTTGTCGTAATTTTAAGGGCAATGTTAATGTCAAAGTGGCCGCCGACATTACATTGATTGTCGCGACATTGAATTTCAATTATTAGTTTGGTTTCAATCGCAATTCATATGCTTCGCGGACATCCTCATTTGCATAATAAAAGCCAGCCCAATGATTAGACCAAGTCCAAATCGCTGATGGAAATATGACGCTTAAGGTTATTTTTACAATGTGAGAACCTAATTATGCACAAATGCAGGCAATGACAAAGGTATAATGATAAGGAAAAGTAGGGAAGATTTCAGGGATGTAGTACTGGAAAAGTATTTAAATAATTAAAGATATTTAGGAAATATATTTCTTTCTGTAAATTTAATAGCTCTTCAAGTATAATTCTTCTCCAATTTTACGAGTTTCAGAGTTTATAAAAACAACACAATATATAAATATTAACTAAATAAGCTTCTTACAAGAACAAAACCTTTACATAATAACTAAATAATCTTAAAATAGAAACCCCGCTTAATATTGAAGCTAAAATCCTTACAAAGTTATTGTATAACATCTGTTAAGCAAGCAATTTAACGATTCCGAAACAATATTATATCCCCGTGTGAGTCAACAAACTTCACAGTAAATTCATTCATCTTACAACAATCTCAATAACGCCTTAAGTACGTGTTTATTAATTGCATAAATAAGATACTCGAAATGCGGATAATGGGGCAATAAACTGGGCTGCTACCACACACAATTCAGCATAAGTATTGTCACACCTTTAGGAAAACACTGTATTCAATGTCATGAACTTCGTGTTGGGTCATAAAACGCTAAAACATATACAACTTTATTTTCGGCTTTTTGTTTACCTTTCGGTTTCGCTTTTTTTTTGGCAGCTCCTTAATTCTACAGACGAACCACACCACCAATTGAAATGCCAAAACGTGTGCACATGACACCCACACAAACACAAGCGATGAGACAGTCAGTGCAACGCTGAAAAAAAGCTCCGAGCTTAAGGCAACAGGTGCCATTATGCCCGACTTCCGTCTGTTATCAGGCCAAGAGAGCCAGAGAGCAAAAGGTATGGGAGCTTTCCGGCTAATCCCCGCATAGAACAGCGGACGAAAACAAAAAAAAAATAAGTCAATGGGAACCGAGGCGCCGCTTAGAGACACCTATATATAAATTAATTGGCGCACAGAATATTTGCGGCAGTCCGTTAAATAGTTCCGTGCTTAACGGGTTTTGTTGGTGCTCAGAACAACCTAAAGTTCGTGTGCAAAAGAAAATGTCTAAACTCATATTCGTAGCCGTACTTCTGTGGTTATCAAGATGCGGTTGGGCACAAATAGCTTGTGAGTTAAAAGGGAACTGTGTTTAAAAACTAGAAGTGTTCTAAGTGTTGTGATCTAAGCAATGTTTTATATCAAGAATTTAATGTAATTTATAAAGAATTCTATGGTTCTTGAAAGAGCAAAGAACAGAATACATAAAATTGCATTGTATCTTCTTCAATAAACTATGATATATCATTTGAAGTCCTAATATAAAATCCATTCCAAACTCACCTGAGTAATTATGCCATTCACTGCCATACTCCCACAGTTACCAATCAGCCTTGCACGGTGAGAAATCCCAAGATCGTGGGCGGTAGTGAGGCGGAACGCAATGAAATGCCCTTTATGGTCAGTCTAATGCGTCGTGGTGGTCACTTTTGTGGCGGCACAATTATCTCGGAACGTTGGATCCTTACGGCAGGTCACTGCATCTGCAATGGCCTGCAGCAGTTCATGAAGCCCGCTCAAATCCAGGGAGTTATTGGCTTGCACAGCATCAAGGAGTACCTCAATGGAATTGGCAATGGTCCTGATGCCCTAAGAGTGGACTTTAAGAATATTGTGCCACATCCGAAATATGACTGCAATGATGTTAAGCATGATATAGGTATGTATATATATAATACTCCTGCGAAACTCAGAAAATATCTTTGTGAAAAGTATATCCTGTAAAAACTCCCATTTTTATCTCTTAAGCTATTCTAAGATAGTAAGTGTTATATTTTCCCATAGCCCTACTCGAATTGGTGCAGCCAATCCAATTCAGTGCCCATATTCAGCCCAGCTGCGTGGGATCCGACAAGGGGCACCGCAGCTTGGAGCAGGAATATGGCACCGTGTCCGGTTGGGGCTGGACGCACGAGAACCAAGCGGAAAACGATCGCTCCGATGTTCTGCGCAAGGCCACCGTCAAGATCTGGAACAACGAGGCCTGCGAGAGATCCTATAGGGCGCTGGGCAAGAGCAATACAATTGGAGACACCCAATTGTGTGCGGGCTATGAAAACGGTCAAATTGATTCGTGTTGGGTGAGTATCCAACTGGAGGACAAAGCACAAGTGTTATGTTTTCGGTTTGCTTGTACTTACAGGCGGATTCCGGTGGACCGCTTATGTCCAAGGAACACCATCTGGTGGGTGTGGTGTCCACGGGAATCGGTTGTGCACGTCCAGGATTGCCAGGAATCTATACTCGTGTCAGCAAGTACGTGTCCTGGATGCAGAATGTGATAGCGGGCAGGAAATAGTTGCTCGGCAGCGGGACAATCAATTATTGTGATTCAACTGTGATATTTGTTGCTTTAAGTTAAGTGATTTTGTTAATAAAAGTTTATTATAAACCAAACCTCTGTTTTCTTCCACAACCGCCATTTTACAAACTTATCGATTGGTATGACAATCGATTCTGTTGCGATTCCTTTTTTGGTATTTAGTATTTATTTAGTATTTAATTATAAGTTCTTATTTGAAACAAATATAAAATTTAATTAAATTTAATTTATAAAGAATAAAAAAAAAAAAATTTTTTAAATTTTGTTTAAATATTTTAACGCAATAATTGACTTCATAAAATATAAAAATTCTTATAAAATATATTAAAATTCTAATATATATTTTTTATATAAATAAATAATATAAATTATGATAAATTAAAAAAATAATAATAATATAATGTAAATAAAATTCTTTTTTACATTTTTATTATTTTATTTTTTGTTTGGTGTGGTAATTTTCTAAAAGTCACATCTGGTCACACAAATGTTGCTAAAAACAAAACGAAAAGCCATAAATGGAGGAATCCGCTCTAACAAAGTAAATATCTTCAATAAAACCCATTAAACCATTTATTTAAACAATATTTAACCAACAGCCAGGCCATTGCGGAGCTAATGCTCGAAATCGAGGGCCAGAAAGCCACAATCAGTAGCCACAAACAAAGCGAGCGCAAAGTCAATCCTCTGGGCAAAGCCAACAAACGCTTTCTGGGTCGCACCATCAACACCGTCATTCGTCATAATAGGCGTGAGAAAGAGCGAACACAGGCGAATTGCCGGCAGAAGCTAAAGGATCTGGATGACATATACGAGAGAAGAAAATCCAACAAATTTTACAACAGAGATGCCAGCAGGAACTCTCGCAGAAGCCGGAGCAGGAGCCGCAGCCACAGTTCTAGTAGAAGCTGCAGTAGGCGTCGTGTTAAGAAGTCCAAAAAGCGACGCAGTAGGAAGAGAAGCAGCAGCCGGAGCAGCAGAAGTCCTAGTCGCAGTCGCAGTCGTTCCCATCGAAGAAAGAAAAACAAAAGGAAGACCAGGAAACATAGAAAACCGCATCACAGGAGCAGGCGCCGCAGCAGCAGCAACAGTCGCGATCGAAACTCTTCACCCAGTGTTGCTAGACCCACCGCCGTTTCTGCACCCTCGGAATTGTACTTGGAACATTCCAAGCAAATGGCTTTGGCCGTGGCCATGGCCTATGGCCAGGTCCTAAAAGCCAACAATCCTGCTGCCAAAGAACGTGAATCTTCACCCATGAGCGATATAGTCAATGAACTCAGGTCCGATGGAGAGGAGGAGAACCCTAATCAAATGGACGCCCTATCCATTTCATCGAGCGACATTGCGGATAATGTGCTTACCATCGATTTAAGCTCAAGCTCAGAATCCGATTCCTCAAAGGGAAGTTCGGACACTGAGTCTGAAGTCGCTTCCAGCTCTGGCAGCTGCATAGCTCTCGATCAAAAGGATAACAACAATAGTGATATAGAGATAATCGAATTGCCAAAGGTACCTGAGGCCGTTAATAAAAAGCAACAGGTGAAGGAAAATTCCGCGCTTGTATCTGTGGACCTGACAGAAGATTAATTAGTTAGGCTTTAATTAGAATAATTATCGTAGCCGAACATCACAGTTTTTCACATACAAGTCATCCTATTATTTTGCTAAACTTTTTTTTTTATATTTAAATTTAAATATCTTGGTATAACAAATATGTTATAAGCTCAACAATTTATTTATTGTTATTTAACCCTTTCAAGACTGATTTAAAGGCTTGTAAAATGGTTATACAAGAAAAATGAAAAAGGAATTGAGATGAAATATACGTTTCGTTTGATTGAATTAAGAGTATTAAATAAACTATGGCCAAAAGTTTGGTTGGAGGCCAGAAATTTCTAAAAATATATATAATTCTTTACAAAACTCCTATGAGAACTAAAAAGCCGCTTGTGCAGGGTATCACGTCAAACTGTTGCTCTCTCTCTGGCCGATTTCTCCCACTCTCGCTCTCTCTCGCCAAACAGCTGATTCTTTATTTACCATTTTCGTTTGAAAACGGCAAGAAAAAGACGTCAATTAGGAGCAACAATTATAAAGTGCAGCAATAATTGTAGTCCCCAGCCAAAAGGATGTTCGGGAGTCTGAAGAAGAAGCTGAGCAGTGCGATCCAGGAGGGACTGGTTATATCGGAGAATCTGCAGCAGCAATATCGCCAGCGTGTCAGTTCCGGGAACGCGGGAAGTAGCCAGGCCAGTGGTGTTACGACCCCCACGTCCACGACTGGTCTGCCGCCGCTGAGTCTCAACGAGAGCCTGTCCTCCAGCAGGAGCAGCAGCCTCTCCCTGAGCACTGCCTTTCAGCTAACGGATGGGATACCAACGCATCTGAATGTGGCAGCGGGCTGCAGTTTGCTGGCCAAATACGAAGATGACTGGCAGCACATCCATGTGGCCAATGAGGAGAATGCAGAGCAGGCAGCCGCGATTGCAGCACAGATCGCTGGAGTCCAGCAGAAGGCCAGCAATCAGCGCAGGGTCGTTAGTGAGCTGAACGCCAGTCTGGCGGGGATTCCCACATTAGTTGCCCAATTACAGGCCAGCACGAAGGTGCTGCAATCCTTGGAGGATATGGGCAAGCAGCTGGAAGTGGAGCTGGAAAAGCTAGAAGATCTGTGCGAGGAGTGCGAGCTGCAGGAGTTCATGCTGGAGCAGCAGTTTCAGCTGTCCCGCCACAAGCAAAAGAAACTCAACGAACTGGAGCAATATCGCCAGAAGGTTGCGTCGCAGCATCAATCCAAGATCCAGGACCAGGAGCAGCGGCTACTAAAACTGCAAAGGGAGCGACAGGCGGTCTTTGACGATGCCTTCCGCAACGATATGGAGGAGTACAAGCAACATGGCCAGCTGACAAGTAATTTCCAATTCAAAGAATCCATTTAAAACCTAGAATTGAAAGCTTTTTCTTTGTTTTTAGAAATTCAAACGAGCGGCAACAAGTTGGCCTTGGAGGAAGTGGTTCTGGAACCCAACGAGGTGGAGGCCAAGGACGCTCTGGAGCAGTTCCTAAACGGCTGATGGCTTCTTGAGGCTTTTAAAGTCGAAAAAGACTCCCATTTTGTGCCTTTCAGTGCAATTTAAAACGTTTACAACGGTCTGGCAACGCCCTGCTGCTGACAGCCTCTGCGTTTTATAAATTTTTTATTACATTATAGCCTACTCGTTTTTATTGTATACAAACTTAAAAATTACATGACCTGTACCTACATACATACATATTTTTTATGAATATATATATTTAAATCGTCAAAATATAATCCGCCATGCTTTCGATTACGCGATGGTAAGTTTGCGCATGTTGGCAACTCTGGTTCCGCAAGAACAACAACAACAACATCTGTGGCGATTAAAAAACATCAATAAAAAAATCTTAATTCCACGCAGCTTACACCTGTCGCAGCTTTTGCTTCATCCCGCTCTACCCCCCAAGTTTCCGTACCCCTTCCTCGGCGAGCTCGAGCTTATGGGAGCAGTTAGATCAGCGCTCAGACCAAAAATCGTCGACATGTCTTCCAAGCAAGCGAAATTCGTCGAGAATACGGTGGCCAGCAACAAGGTGGTTATCTTCAGCAAGACCTACTGTCCCTACTGCACCATGGCCAAGGAGGTGAGAGAGCATGCTGGGCGAGACCTCTAAAGGTCACTTAACATGATTAATCTAATCTATTTGTGGTTGGCAGCCTTTCCGAAAGCTGAACGTGGAGGCGACAATCATAGAGCTGGACGGTAATCCGGAAGGGAATGAGATTCAGGAGGTCCTGGGCGAGATCACGGGCGCCAGGACGGTGCCCCGCGTCTTCATCGATGGCAAATTCATTGGCGGCGGCACAGACATCAAGCGAATGTTTGAAACGGGAGCCTTGCAAAAGTACTTTCAGTGAATGTAGCGATCCTTAAGCATACCCAGCTACTTTTTGTGTATGTACCAAAAAATTAGAGCACATTTTTTTCTAGTTAAATGTTCAAAGTCCTAAAAAACTTATTTGAAAATGCTAAATAAATTCTTTTCAATTGTAAAATAGAGTTTGATTAGAGGAAAACGTAGAACCAATGGAGCCAGGGAAGTAGGTGGAAGGTTAAGGGATTTTAAAAGAAAGAATAATCTTTAAATTTCTTATAATATAAGAGTTTAGTAAGGTAAACTCAAGGCAAGACCAGAATTTATGTAAGAAAGTTGTATATAATTTAATATTATTTCATTAAGCTGAGGAAACAGCTGTTGACCAGAGTTGTCATCTTTAATTTTAACAAAGACAACTGCAGTTTTGTTAGAAAAATGAATAAATAAACTTGGATTTAATTATTTTTATTAAAGCTTAAGTTATTTAAAACTTAGTTAATTTCAGGTAATTATTCAAGAAATGATGAAAGATTTAAACAATTTATTAAATAGAATAGAAATATCGATAACTCGATTAAGAACAGCTGTTTGCTAAGTGTTGCTAATTTTGTTATTATTCCTATAATGTCGGTTTTAGTAAGCGGAGAAGCCTCCGAATCCGATGATGAACTACAGGACAAGCACAAGGTAAAGCTGAATTACTATAACTACGTTTTGCCATAAAACTAAATCTGTTTTCATGACAGATTTTCGCCGCTGAAGTTCCTGGAGAAGCCACAGAGGAGGAGGACGATGACGAGGATATCTATGAGCAGCGCAGAGGCAATCAGGTGAACAGCACCACGGCCTCCATCTACCGAAACAACCTGTTGCAACGGAAACTAAGTACAACTTGGCCTAAACCCTTTATCCGACCTAAATAAATATATTAACCTTTTTTCAGTTGAAAACAACATTGCCATTTGGCGATCTCTCACTGCTTTCACTCGCAGTTTCGTGATGAATGCCTCCAAACAGCTGGTGACCACGGACCAGATGCTCATAAAATCCCAGCTTAATCTGCAGTCTGCACACACCTCCCTGCAGCAGGCCCAAAGGAATGTCCAGGAACTGCAGGCGAGGATGGGGGCCGTGATGACAAGCAGCTTTCTGCCACACATAAACAACGTCGAGAAAGCTGTCTGACTAATCTATCCTTATATTTGTATTTGCCGAGTTAAACGATCAAATTATATGCTAATCTTCAGTATCGGAATTGGGCGCATAGGCCTGACTATTGGGCGACGGCTCCCGAGGGACGTAGGTGTTCTGAAAGCACCGTGAAAATATGGTTCGCATTTTGGTGGGTCGCTCCGGCGACGGAGGTATGGTTTCATCCTCATCGGAGGGCATCTCGGGAGCCGGTGTATCTTCAGAGTTGTAGAAGCACACCTCCGTGCTGGGCGGTACCGTAACCGGTGCTATACTTGCTTCTAAAGCAGCATCTGCGGCGGCCAGCATCAGAGCTTCCTCATCTGCCTCGTCTTCAATCAAAACCACAGTGTCCACTTCCGCTAGGTTTCGTGGCTGCTGCACAGAAGCCTGCTGTGCCTCAGAGTTTCTGAACTGGAAAAGAGGAGTTTCCAAACTACTCTCTAGCGACTGGCTTTCCTCCTGCACTATCCTTTTTCGCTGCACTGCAGCCGGTTCGGGTTGGTTGCTCTTGCGTTTGCTGGCCACACTTGGTCCGGGAGTGCTGCTCTTTCGCTTGCTCGCAGCTTTTGCTGCCGACGCTGCCGCACATCGCACATCTTCATCCTGGGCACTCAAATCCCGTTGACAGTAATCATCCGAGAAGCTCACGTCATCCGGCGACAGCGTGGACATAATAAGCAAGCACTCAATCTCTCCGTGTTTCTTGACTTTCAAAAGAAATGGGCGACCGGCTTCATCGAACTCCAGGTTTAGGGAGGCATTCAGGCACTCGGCGAAGAGGAGAAAGGCGCGAAACTCCTTGATGCAAAAGGTAATGACAGTCTCCTTGGTCACCTGGTACTGGTCAAACTCATTGGGCTTGAGTTTCAGTTGCGTTCGCATAAACTTATCATTCACCCGGGCTCCTTCTATGTAGTTCTTGGCCACCAAGCTGCCAGAGTTTGCCTCCAAGGTAAGCTCCTCCTCGGTGGTGTTGAAATTGTTGGATATGTCCGTGAATAGTTTGTGATCGCCGCGGATTCTAAAAGGATATGAATGTAATATCTTCTAAATTATAGTTACCCAAGACTTACACATTTGGCATCTGGTCTGTGTCGATGTTTGTATTGATGTTTTGATCATCAATGATGGAAATGGTGGCCTCCTTGGTTGTCTCCAGCTTGCAGCGCAGATTCACCTGCAAACTGGTTTGATCGTCCAGTATGTTGAGCTCACAGTACTCCACCTGGAAGGGGGGATTTTCCAATCAATAAAACCGAAAGGTGGAATAGCTGCCCTTAGCCTTACCTCGTTCATATTCCTAAAAACAGCCAAGCAACCCTTCATGGAGATTTTGCAATAGAAACCCGAGTTGGAAGGCGTATCAAAGACCTCAAACATGGAACGCTTGAAGAATATGCTCCCCACAGCCGATTGAGTGGCATTTATGGCCCTCATTTGCAATCCTTGGGGATCGATCTCAATGAACATTTCCTTGCCCACCTTGGACAGGGATTGTACGGCTTTGGCGATGACTGAAAATGAAAGGAATATATTAAAAACTTAGCTCTTTGAGGTTTAATATAGGTTACCCCTTGCATTGCTGCCTTCTAAGGTGTATTTCATTGGCAAATATTAACCACAAAAAGTTGACGGCAACCAGAATTCGCGCTAAATTTGTAAACAAACCGATTAGAGTGACCGACGGGGGAATTAATCGATAACAATTTGGTATTTTTTTATCCCATGAATTTTACATTCAAAGGTTTTTTTTTATTATTTTTTGTATTTTTATTTGTGAAAATCTAATTTGTTTAAGAAAATAGCAATATAAAAAGTGATAATATAAAAATTTGGCAAAATATATTCCCGATCAACTATCGATAGTTTTCCACATTCGGCCTGGTCACACTGAGCACGGCAGGCCGGTCGAACGCCACATCAGTTCTACTTTTAATTAACTATAAAACTGGGTTAAAACCAGCTAAAGCACTGCTGGAAAAGTTTAAAAGCCTCGAGGAGGTTCTTCTTTGTGTTGGCGCAAGCGTTATGTGTTTGGCCAGAATCTCTTAGGAAAACGTAGTGTGCCAAACAACAATGTTACGTGCCGCGGCTTTGTGTGTGTCAGTTCTGGGGCTCCTGGGGCTCCTAGCGGCTCCCTCTTCCGCGGAATCGAGTCAGAGCTATCCGATCACCACACTGATCAATGCCAAATGGACACAGACACCGCTATATCTGGAGGTGGCCGAATATCTGGCCGATGAGCAGGCGGGCCTGTTCTGGGACTACGTACAGGGAGTGACCAAATTGGACACGGCATTGAATGAATACGGTTTGTGTTTTCCCCTCCAAAATATACATATTCTTTATATAGACAGTTTCCCCTTGCAGATACCGAATCCCAGCAGTATAATGCCGCCTTGGAGCTGGTCAAAAGCCATGTAAGTTCTCCCCAGTTACCGCTGCTCAAGTTGGTCGTGTCCATGCACAGCCTGACGCCTAGGATTCAGACCCACTTCCAACTGGCCGAGGAACTACGCAGCGGTGGCTCCTGCCAGAGCTACACTTTTGTCCAGGTGGGCACCGAATTGGCCTGCAGTTTCAATGAGTTGCAGAAAAAGTTGGAATTGCCGCTGGCCAAGGAGAGTTTGGATGCGCCGGTGATAACCTACAGCTTCGATCACATCTTCCCGGGCAGTGAGAACAATACAAGGACCGTGGTCTTGTATGGTGACCTGGGCAGCTCTCAGTTCCGCATCTACCACAAGTTGCTGGAGAAGGAAGCCAACAACGGTAAGATTCGATATATTCTGCGTCATCAGTTGGCCAAAAAGGAAACCAGACCGGTGCGTCTTTCTGGCTATGGCGTGGAACTCCACCTAAAGTCCACGGAATACAAGAGCCAAGATGATGCTCCTAAGCCCGAGGCGGGCGGATCTTCTGACGAGGATTTGGCCAATGAATCAGATGTTCAAGGTTTCGATTTTAAAATGCTAAAGCAAAAGCATCCTACGCTGAAGAGAGCCCTGGATCAGCTGCGTCAGAGACTCCTGCAGGGCAACGATGAGATTGCCCAGCTGAAAGCCTGGGAATTCCAAGATCTGGGTCTTCAGGCAGCCGCTGCCGTGGCCGAAATTCAAGGCGATGAAACCCTACAAATTCTGCAATACACTGCACACAATTTCCCCATGTTGGCCAGGACTTTGTTGGCCCACAAAGTGACGGATGCCCTGAGGGCGGAGGTCAAGCACAACACCGAAGCGTTTGGCCGAAGCTTGAATGTGGCTCCACCAGATGGTGCTCTGTTCATCAATGGACTCTTCTTTGACGCTGACACCATGGATCTGTACTCCCTAATTGAGACACTGCGCTCGGAAATGCGCGTCCTGGAAAGCCTGCACAGCAATAATGTGAGGGGTAAGCTGGCCAGCTCTCTGCTGGCCTTGGATCTCACTGCATCCAGCAAAAAGGAGTTTGCCATTGACATCCGCGACACGGCAGTGCAGTGGGTCAATGATATCGAGAACGATGCTCAGTACCGTCGTTGGCCATCATCTGTGATGGATCTCCTGCGGCCCACCTTTCCCGGCATGCTAAGGAACATCCGTAAGAATGTTTTCAACTTGGTGTTGGTGGTCGATGCCCTGCAGCCGACAGCCAGGAGCGTGATTAAGCTATCCGAATCCTTTGTGATTCATCAAGCTCCCATTCGCTTGGGCTTGGTCTTTGATGCGAGGGAGGCCAGTGAGGATAATCGAGAGGATTATATAGCCATCAGTTGTGCCTTTAACTATGTGAGTCAGAAGAAGGATGCCCGAGCTGCCTTGAGTTTTCTCACAGACATCTATGCCTCCGTTGGCGAGACAAAGGTGGTTACGAAGAAGGATATAGTGAAGCAGCTGTCCAAGGAGTTTACCACTCTCAGTGCCAGCAAGGCAGAGGAGTTCCTAGAGGAGGATGGCACCTATGATTATGGCCGAGAATTGGCCGCCGAGTTTATTCAACGTTTGGGCTTCTCCGACAACAAGGGACAGCCGCAGGCCCTGCTCAATGGCGTGCCCATGGCCAGCAACCTTGTGACCGCCGACAGTGACTTTGAGGAGGCCATTTTCACCGAGATTATGAGTCATACCAGCAACCTGCAAAAGGCCGTATACAAAGGTGAAATGACGGACAGCGATGTGGCCATTGATTATCTGATGAATCAGCCCCATGTTATGCCCAGATTGAATCAGAGGATTCTCAGCCAGGAGGATGTGAGATACTTGGATATTAATGGCGTGGCCTACAAAAACCTGGGCAATGTTGGTGCCTTGAATCGTTTGTCCAATCGGGACATGACCGCCACTTTGATGGAAAATCTCAAGTATTTCGGTGGCAAAAAGTCTACAGAGGTTATTGGTGGCTCCTCCCTTCAGTTTCTTACAATTTGGGTTTTCGCTGACTTGGATACGGAGCAGGGACGTTCTCTGCTTACCCACGCTTTGGAGTATGTTCAGAGCAGCGAGAGTGTCCGCCTGGCTTTTATTCCAAATACCGAAAGTGCCTCATCCCAGTCTGATAAGAAGAACCTCAATCGTTTGGCCTGGGCTGCTGTGCAGAGCCTGCCAGAGCCCAGTCAAGCCACTGAGCTGGTACTCAAGTGGCTAAAGAAGCCCAAGGAGAAGATTGAGATACCTGCCCAGCTGGAGGATATTCTGGGTTCCACGGAGCTTCATCTGAAGATGTTGAGAGTGTACTCGCAGCGGGTTTTGGGTCTTACCAAGTCCCAGCGTTTGGTCATAGGCAATGGACGCCTGTATGGTCCCCTGGCTGCAGAGGAGACCTTTGATAGCGCTGATTTTGCTTTGTTGGCCCGTTTTAGTTCCCTACAATATGGCGATAAAGTGCGTCAAGTGCTCAAGGAGTCGGCTCAGGATGTTCGCGAAGAATTCACCAGCGACACCCTGCTCAAGCTATACGCTAGCCTGCTTCCTCGTCAAACTAAAACACGTTTCAAGTTACCCACAGACCTGAGATCAGATCACTCGGTGGTGAAGCTGCCTCCCAAGCAAGAGAAACTCCCCCACTTTGATATAGCAGCTGTCCTGGATCCCGCTTCGCGAGCAGCTCAAAAGCTTACACCTATTCTTATACTGCTCCGCCAGGTTTTGAACTGCCAACTGAATCTTTACCTCATACCAGTGCCCCAGCATAGCGATATGCCTGTGAAGAATTTCTACAGATATGTGGTGGAGCCTGAAATTCAATTTGAGTCTACTGGCAGCCGCTCGGAGGGACCTTTGGCCAAGTTCAGTGGTTTACCCGCCAATCCTTTGCTCACCCAACAGCTGCAGGTTCCCGAAAACTGGCTGGTGGAGGCAGTGAGAGCCGTCTACGATTTGGATAACATCAAGCTTACAGATATTGGTGGACCCGTGCACAGCGAATTCGATTTGGAGTACTTGCTGTTGGAGGGACATTGCTTTGATGCTGCCAGTGGAGCTCCTCCTAGAGGATTGCAGTTGGTTTTGGGCACTCAGAGCCAACCCATTTTGGTGGACACCATTGTCATGGCCAATTTGGGTTACTTCCAGCTGAAGGCTAATCCCGGAGCTTGGTCTTTGCGTCTTCGCGAAGGGAAATCCTCAGATATCTATGGAATAAGTCACATTGAAGGCACCAATACGCATCACACGGCTGGATCGTCGGAAGTTCAGGTTCTTATCACATCCCTGCAGTCCCATGTCATCAAGTTGAGGGTTGCCAAGAAGCCGGGCATGCAGCAGGCGGAACTCCTTGCCGATGACAATGAACAGGCGCCACAATCGGGCATTTGGAACAGCATTGCCAGCAGCTTTGGCGGAAGCAATGGTAACCAGGTGGTCACAGATGAGGATACGGAAACCATTAATATTTTCTCCGTGGCTTCGGGACATTTGTACGAACGCTTGCTCCGGATTATGATGGTGTCACTGCTGGAGCACACCAAGTCCCCGGTGAAGTTTTGGTTCTTAAAGAACTACCTCTCGCCTCAGTTCACTGACTTCCTGCCGCACATGGCCAGCGAGTATAACTTCCAGTACGAGTTGGTCCAGTACAAGTGGCCACGTTGGCTCCATCAGCAGACCGAGAAACAACGAACCATTTGGGGCTACAAGATTCTCTTCTTGGACGTGCTCTTCCCGCTGAATGTGAGGAAAATCATTTTCGTGGATGCCGATGCCATTGTGCGAACTGATATCAAGGAGCTGTATGACCTGGATCTTGGAGGAGCACCCTATGCCTATACGCCGTTCTGTGATTCGCGCAAGGAGATGGAGGGCTTCCGGTTCTGGAAGCAGGGATACTGGAGGAGTCATCTGATGGGCCGGCGTTATCACATTTCCGCCTTGTATGTGGTGGACTTGAAGAGGTTTAGGAAAATTGCTGCTGGCGACAGGCTGAGAGGTCAATACCAGGCTCTTAGCCAGGATCCCAACAGCTTGTCCAATTTGGATCAGGATTTGCCCAACAATATGATCCACCAAGTGGCCATCAAGTCACTGCCCGACGATTGGCTCTGGTGTCAGACGTGGTGCAGCGACACCTCCTTCAAGACTGCCAAGGTGATCGATCTGTGCAATAATCCGCAGACCAAGGAGGCCAAGCTGACGGCCGCCCAGAGGATTGTGCCCGAGTGGAAGGACTACGATGGTGAGCTGAAGTCGTTGATGGCTCGCATCGAGGATCATGAGAATTCGCATGGCGGTAGGGACACCGTCGAAGATGATTCATTAGAGCAAGATCCCCTGGAGGTCACTACGGTGAGGCCATCCCATGAGCCCAAACACGGCGAGCTGTGATCTACGCGCGTAGTTAAATCAAACGAGTTTTAGTGAATTTAAGTCCGGATATCAACAGAACTTGATTACTACTTAGCTAAGACCCCCCATACCCGACACATATTTGTACATTTTAATTAGAAACTACTCACAAAAAAGCGACTCACTAACGAAGTCTGAAAATTGTCTATTTGAAACTCTATTTCGTTTTCTTGTCTTGCATTCCAAGTGCTCTATGGCCACTAATTGAATTAAGCTGAAAATATGTAAAATGTCATAAAGCAGAATGCGACTTTAAGTTAAAAGTTCTTTGAAATGTATTAAAAGCTGTGGAGAAAATAGTAATTAAAAATGAATATTGGAAATATTTATGGGGGAGGAGGTAGCCGGAAATAAATAGTTTTTAAGCTAGAAAACAAAATGGGGTTTTTTAGGTTATTAAAAATGTTTTAGAAAAAGGTGCCAAGTTCCTTAAAATAAACTCAGTTTTTTCTTTATTTTAGTTTTTATTTCAAATTATAATTTGAATTTATTTTTGTTGCTTTTGTGTGTGTATCTACATAAAGAAATTATTTTATAATTGTATTATAATGCTGCTGCTTTACCTTTATGTATTTAGCACTTAAGAATGAATTTTGTTTAGCATTATTTTTCTTTTGTTTGGTAAATTTTCATTTTGGTATTTTTTTTTGTTGTAAGGCAGACAGTGCAGTCCAAAGAAGTGGATCTTTATCATATTTATTGTTAAGTTTGATCTTCTTCTCGGTTAAGTTTTTCATAATTGTTATTTTTAATTTATTCCCTCAGCGAATTGCGTTCCCATTAATTTAGTTTAGCGTTTCTAATAAATATAATTTTAAAAGTTTACTCTTCATTTCGGTTATCCAAACTAACGCTGAGTGTAGTATACATACGATAGTTCATTAAAGCTTTCATTTTTTATTCAATTTTTGCTCAATATGTTAGTTATATATGTTTTGGTTCAGACTACGCCGTTCTATTCGCTTTGAACTAGTTCATAAGTGTGTAAGGGAAATATATAGTTAACATATTGCGGTTAGGGCTCGCTTCTCGATTAAATTATTTAATAAAAAAATGCGGCTGTCAAAAGGTTCTTTATCCTTGTCAGTTTTTAGAGAGAGTTTTTGTGTGTATTTTATCTGTATCTGGTATCTGGTATCCGGTATCTGTATCTTGCGCTTCTCTTACTTGCTAAGAATTGACGAAACTACAAAATTAGACTGTTTTTATTTCCAGTTCGTTCTCTCTTATCTGTGTTTCTGTATCTGTAGTCTTTGTTATCTTTGTTTAAAAAATGGTATAGGCATATTTATTTTGAATGAATGCTTTCCCCCGATTCTTGAGTTTGATTCGTTGTATATGTATATATTGCTTTAATCCAGGTGTTTATACATATCCTCCAGCTGAGGCTTGAAGTAGCTCTTTAATTGCGGTCTCTTGGATTTGAATGTGGGTGTCAGCAGTCCGTTTTGCACCGAGAAAGGATCCGGATGCAGATAGACATCTTTTACCTGAAAAAAAATATATTATTAGCATACAATTTGTATAAATATTTGGCTATATATTTACCTGTTCGAATGACTTGAGTCCACTCTGCTTTCCCCAATTGAGCATGTCGTTCATGATCAGTTCCTTGACATTCTTATTATTGCACAGGACGGAGAGTGTGCCGCGTACATTGTTCTCCGTGGCCCATTGCTTCAGTACATCGACATCAGGTACAACGACAGCGATAATGCAGCTCTAAAAAAATTTTGAAATGTAAAATATAATTTTGTTTTATATAAATTTGCAGTATATTTAATCAGAAATCAGAAAAACCTATATAGATTGTAGATTTGAAGCTGCAATGCATTTAATTATCAACCAAAAAATTTTATTTTAAGATACAAACGTTGCGCAATGGTCTCAAAGTTTCCATACAAATTACTCATACGCCACGTAAGCCATTACGTTTTCTGTTCTAGAAAATCTTTTCTTAATTTCGATGTTTGTCTGAATTAAGATTTTTTTAAAATTAATCAATCAAGAAAAAGCTTAATTTTGTGTAGCTGTGAACTCAATGTTTCCAAAAAAATTACTCATACGCCACGTAAGCCTTAGAAAATGTTGTTTTAGGACATTTTTATTAAATTCTTTTTTTAATGCAGTGATTTCAATTATACTATAAAATAGCCTACATCGAAGAATATATTTTCAGTCGAACCACAGTGCGTATGAGTGATATATTATGACACCAAAGTAGTAATAATAAATTATATAATTTCTTTCTCCACACTCACCTTTAAGCTCTCTCCATAGACATAGACTTGATTAACATATTGACTGAGCGTATAGATATTCTCGATCTTCTCCGGCACTATATACTCGCCCTGGCTGAGCTTGAAGATGTGCTTGCGGCGATCGATAATTCGCAGGGTTCCGTTGGGAAGCCACATGCCCACATCGCCAGTATGATGCCAGCCCTCCGAATCGATGGCCTCTGCCGTCTTCTCGGGATCCTTATAGTAACTGCAAATGAAAATTAAGATTAAAATATTGTTTTTAGAGTTTACATTTGAGACTTACCCATGGAACACATTAGATCCTCGCACACACACCTCCCCCGTATTTTGATTGGCAAAGTACTCCATCTCTGGGACATCCACCAGTTTCACAGCATTGCAGGACACTGGAGGACCAACATGGTTGGGCACATGATCACCCTGAACTGTTAGGGTAATGGCGCCCGTGCACTCCGTCTGTCCATAACCCTCGAGGACCAGACAACCCAAGGCACAGCGCATGAAGGTGAGGACATTGCCAGCAAGAGGAGCTGAACCGACGACCATGAGCCGCAGGTTGCCGCCAAAGGCCTGATGTACCTTCTTGAAGACTAGCTTGTCCCAGCAGCCATTCCTTCGCAGGACACCCCGGGCGATCTCCTTCTCCTTGGCCCGCATGGCCATGTTGAAGAGTCCCCTCTTCAGTCCAGACGCTGAAATATCGTTCTGGATCTTGTCGTAGACGCGATTTAGGAGTCGCGGCACCGCCGGCATAACCGTGGGCTTCAGCATCTTCAAGTCATTCGTTAGTTCCTTGATATCGCCCGAGTAGAAGCCCACACAGCCGCCCACATAGTACATTCCGTTCTCGCAGCACCGTTCGAACATGTGGGCCAATGGCAGGAAGGAAACCATTACATCTCCTGCACGGATGCGATGATCACCCATCTGCAGGATCACAGAACAGACGCCGGCCACCACGTTCCCGTGCGTGAGCATCACGCCCTTGGGATTCCCTGTCGTTCCAGAGGTATAGCACACCGTGCACAGATCTTCCGCCGTCGGTGGAACTTCCGGATGGTTACCCTTGGCGCCCAGCTTCTCCACATCAATGAAGGAGAATATCTGAATACCACGACTACGCGCCCTTTCCAGAGTCGTCTGGCGAATGGGCTTAATGGCCACAATGATCTTTAGGCTGCGTGGTGCCTTCTCCAGCAACATGGCCGCCTTGCCATCATCCTCAACGACCACAATCGACATTTCTGTCTGGCGGATGATGAAAGCACAGGCATCGGGACCGAGGGTATCGTATAGTGGAACCACAACCAGGCAGAAGGAGTAGCAGCCCTGCTCGTACAGGATCCACTCTGGTCGGTTCTGGGAGTAGATGCCAATCAACTGCTTGGGCCTGGCGCCCAGAGCCAGCATGCCAGCACCAAAGTTCTTGGCTCGCAGCAAAGCCTCGTCATAGTTGATCCACTGGAGGTGGGATAAACGATTATTTATATATAGTTATTACATTATTATTATTCCTCACCTGGTAAGGCGATGTCAAAGTTTCACGCCATCCCAGACATGGTCCATTATTGGAGGCATAGGCACCTTCGCGGAAGGTCTGATATAGCGTCCGTACATTCTCTGTGATATAGGACACGAACTTGCCGTTCTTGGACTCCTTGTAGAACTTGGAGACGTGTATTTGTTCTGGACCCTGCAATGCGAGTGAAGTGACCCCAAAAGAAACAGAGAGAGAGAGAAATCGAGGACATGCAATGAGTGGAGACGTTGAGAGAGAGATATTGATATAGTATATATATGTACAGTCAAGATTATCAATGAGGTAAGAGTTTTAGTTATACATTTTGGGATATTACAAATATATGTATGCTTTTTATGAATTGTTTGTCTTGGAATTGTGGAAATAAATACATTTTACAGTGAGATAAAGTTAAGAACCTAACACAACCTAAGGCTAATAATTATACATTATATTCTGTTTATATTTTTACCAAAAAATATAAATAAAATTCCTAACAAACTACCCAACTTTCTTGTAAAGATCAAAGCCTAAATAGTGTTTATACTAATTAAAAAAGCACACAAGTTCTTTAAAGCCAAATAATATTTTTTACTAATTAAATGTATAACTAAATTGTTAAACTTTAAAAGCTTATTTCCTTCCCTCCAAACATAAGCCTTTCTCCAGCCATCAATCAATCTATTTTCACTTTTTCCTGTGTGTTTATTTTGGTCGTTTCGAAAAAGAAATCACACCCAATTGTTAGATTAAAATCAATAACCTCTTGAATTTATGATATATTGTTTATTTTGGGGCTACAGACATAAACCTATCACTCGTCGGAATTTCTTTTTTGGCGCCCGAGAGTAGATAGCAAGTGGAATCGATTCGATATAGCCATTAGAGCACTTCCTTTATGGTAAACAGCTGCCAAAGAAATTCTCGCAGTGGCCAAAAGTGTTGATGTACGAAAACGAATATCAAAATACTTTCGACAATGGAGGGGGGAATATATATTTGTGCAGGGCAGTTCAGGGGGGGGAGAAATGGAAATCTTAAAAGTTAGTTTGTTTATTTTCGCTGTCTATAGATTTTAATGAGCAAAATGCAGAAATGTATTTTCATAAATAATTGTTTCGCACTTTAAAGTGCTTTCCAAAATCAATTTTGTTTATATTTTATATGAATATTTTTGATGACGCAAGTCTAAGGGGGTGGAGGTTGGTTAGAACAGATGAGGTGGAGGAGGACGAGGCCTACCCTGTGGTGGATATCTAGACGATGATCGTATTTGATCTAGTCCCACCGGCAATGTAAGAGACAGTAAACAAAAAAAAGAAGCAAAAATAAAGTTTGTATTAGTATTATTGCTTAGTTAAGTCTTGGGTTAGTTAATGGCGGACTCTTATTTTAGGTTCTAGTTGGGTAATCTTAGGGGGAAAGTGGTTTTCCCTCTTCGAGAGTTACCTTCAGCACATCACTCTGATTGCTTAGCTCGATGGGCACTCGTATACTGGTTATTTGGCCGCAACAGGACATGGTTTCCTTTGAATTTTATTATTTTCTGGTTGGTTAACTTTAATGTGCAGATTATTGGACACTCTGTTCACTCTTGGTTTCCTTTATGGATCGTTCAGATTTCATCTGGCATTTAATATGCACATTTTCCGAGCGACTGTAAAACAAACACACACAAACACAAACTATGTAGATTTTTCGCACATTTCATTAGCGATTTTGCCATTTAATGTCTCTGCCGTACGTTCGATTTATATATATTTTCTTATTTTAATTATTCCCATTAGACGCATTTCAAAATCGTTCGAAAATCGTTTAAATGCTAATTAGCGCGTTTAAAAATACACTTTTCGATTTGTAATTGAAGGGTGTGTTTGCTTTGGCCACATTCCCATTCATTTAAGAACTGTATCCGGTTTATAAATATTTATATTGCGTGCCTGATAAATATTTATAATAAACATTTTTGTTTTATAAATATTAATTTGAGTTTTTGTTAGCTTTTTATCTATTTTTTGTTTGTTTTTTCAATCTTACAAATGTTTAAATTGAACAGAGACAAAGGAACATTTTATTTACAAACACAATTTTACGAATTTAAATATTTTCATTACCAAATAATATATTTTCTTTAAATAAATATTAAACAGAGAGGTTTCAGAGTTAAATACATTTTTCTAGCACACACTTTCAAGAATTTAAAATTTAAATCAATCACAATGCATTTTATGAATCCCTAATGAGACCCAAACCAAATTTTCCTAATTCCCCGAACAACATTTTCAAAATTCCCCCCATTTGCACTGGCATCAAAGGCTAAGAAAGTCAAAAACCAAAGCATAATTATGACGCCTTACATACTTTTGGCAACTGCAGTCCGATTCAATTTTGTTTATAATTTTTCAATATTGGCAGCTGCTGGGCAGGGCTGCCCCAGAACGGGGTAAGAGTTGATATGCTTGTATGTAAAAGTTGGTACAAAAGACCAAGAAATGAGAGAGAGAAATGGCCAACAATAATATCGACAAGGCGTCGTCGTTGCTTTGGCTTGGCCTGCCCCAAATTAATTTATAAATAGTTCGTTTGGGGGTAAAAACGTTCCACTCTGTTGTTATCTATGAGAAGCCCGTGTGTGTGGCCGCAAAAAATAAAACATACTCTCTCTCACACTAGAGAAATACACCCGTACAATGAGTATTTTTTGCAAATAAAATATAGGTATATATTGTGAAATTTCTCCTTTTTTTTTGGCGATCGACAACTGACTCATGGGGGAACGCGTTCGGATGCCTCGAGGCAATTGGCGGTTCCGAGAGGCTAGCTAGCGTTTTCCTCAATGAGCAATTCATCTTTGAGTTATGGTAATTGTGGCTGCCATAAAATTGGCTATAAACTATTGGCCAGCAAAAAGGGCGGCTGGGAACGGATAAAAATAAAAATGAATGAAATGGCAGGGGTGCTGAGAAGAATTTCCTTGGGATCTGCATCATATCAATAGTTTGGCAGCAGTTTTCTTTTGTTTTTTAAATAATAGAAGCCCAGGCAAAATATGCGGAAATTTCAAGGTCGTCTGGGAACGAGATTTTCTTTATTATTTTCCAGGTGGCTTGTATACTTTTTTTATATTTAAACTTTTACATTTTAGTTTGGTTATCCCCCTTCATTTATCTTGACATTTATTATGATTCTAATTTAATCCTAAAAAAAGCCATTTGAATTGATCAGAAATATGTGTAGGATGAATAACAATGAAATTGGATTGTTTTGAGATAAAAACACATACAACTATATTTAAGCAAATATATGTTTAGTGGGTTTTTGCTTCCTGACATTTAACTTGACTGATTAAGATTGAGAGCTAGCTGGCACGTTAAACCATGGCGATATGTTAAGAATATCACAGAATTTTTATAGATATTTTTTAAGAGCTTTAAACAGGTATTTTTATATGAAAGATAATGTTTATATTATTAAAATAAGACTTAAGTATCAATAAAATAAGTCTTTAACATAAACTTTAACTTCTAAAGGCATATTTACAATGTAATCGTATGAAAACTATTATAACAAAAATCAATTAGTTTTAGTATACAATAAGTATGGTAATTTACAATTTCAAAAATCCACATGGCCCAAAATTCTTGCGGTTGAAAAATCACAGAAACAACTCAATCTCTTTAAACACAAAAACAACTATAAAATGTTATAGCCAATGGGGGAAAACATCGTAAAGATCAACTCAAGTTAAGCTGTTTACAAGGGGGGAAATAAAACCAATCAAACCGAATACATCCATCAGACCAAATTAGAAACAAAATCATGTCAAAAAAAATTAATTTTATAAGTAGTTTTCTTTGCTGCGGGTGGGATGTGGGTGGTTGTGTTCTTTAGATGTTTTATGTATAGAAAATGTGTGAACTTGAACTTGAGGGGCTGAGTTCACAACGGCAACGGCGACAACGGCGACAACGGCACTTTGACACTTTGGCAAATCGATTTCCATGGGAAAATGTTTTTTTGAAAATTTCTTAATTATATCTTTCCACTTTTTCGAAGCATTTTGGGTATTTTTTTTGATGGTCTGGTGTTTTACGTAATGAGATTAAACGCTTGTATTTTTGTCAATTTGTTGCAAATTGTCGTGCGTTTTTTTTCGCTCTTTATTTTCGTTTTGTTTAGTATATAGACACGAGCTATTATTTATAAAAAATACGTTTGTTTCATAGATATATAAATCTGCGATATGTACATTATGCTGCCTCTGCTGCTGTTGTTTCTTTCTTTTTTCGTTATTTGCTTTTTGGGATTATTCTAATTTGAAATATATTTTTTGAGGGGGATTTGAGCGCGCCGCGATCTTCGCGACACGATGTTTAATTTCGAACTGAATGGCAGAAGTAAAATATTGGTCGTGGCTAAAAATGATTCTTCTGGCCGGCCCGAAGAATCTTCATTTTCTTTTGGGGATGAGAGAGAGAGAGACACTAAAGCAGAGATGAGAGAAGAATTCTGTTGAGGACTTTCGGGGGAGGCACGAGGAAGAATGCAGGAGCGTTCGGCTAGGAATTTTATTCGTTTATATTTTCTTATTTTGATATTAAACGGTTTTTCGTATTCTTCTCGTTCTTCTACAGCTTTGCTCTAATTTTTTTTTTTGTGTTGGCCCGATCAAGTTGTCTGCCTGTCGGAATATCCACCACCCCCGCCTCTTCTTCCTGTAACTACTACACGCGATCTAAAACGGCATGTGACTATATTTCTAGTTTTTGGAGGGAATCTCTTGCTTTAGAAGACAGCTAAATTTCATCTCCTTAATAACCAACATGATTTATGATTCATATGCAAGAACCGCGCCCACTTTTTGGCGCAATAAAAATAGAAAAACATTTGTTTACTTTCTGGGATATAACCAAAAATTTAGGCAGGTGATGAAATTTACAGGAAACAACTAAAATTATGACTAACAAAAATATTAAGGTATATAAACTTAGTAAAATAGGGATAAAGGAAACATAAATTTAACTGTAATTATTTGAATTAAAATGTGACTTCCTAAAATTTAGTTGCAACTGATTTAAACTATAAGAGGGTTTATATTTTATAAATCATAGTTTAACAAGCCCCTTTTTTTCTCTTTTAAAATGTAATTTGCATTAAAAAACGGTTGATTTTTTATTATTTTCAATGAAATACAAAAATTACTTGATAAATGTATTTAAATTGCTCGAAAAAAAAACCCAAAACAAACAAATATTTTATAAAATTGCAATTAATGGTTAATTATTCAGTTCTCTTGAAATAATTCAAATCATTTGGAACACAATTTATTTTAATTTAATTGAACATTTCATTGCCATCACATTATTTACACATAATGCATTAAACATTAGCTTAGTTCATCTCCTCACATATTTATCGTTTCATTTGCACCTCCATTTGCACTCATTAGCAAATTTTAGTAGTTCATAGTATATATGTTATATTGGAAAACACTCAATATACACCGTAGAGTGTGCCAAATACTTGTTGGGTGCACTTTCAGTTGCCCAAACAAACACACACAAAAAAGTTACCAACACTAAAAGCTGCATAATTACGCCTTGTATTTGTTTTACAAGCACACACCAAATATAATATATTATGTATTATTTTATGTATAATGTAGTATGCACATGTACCTGCTCAGAAGCAGACAGGTTGTCCCTGTCGTGTCACTAGTTTGACATTTCCTTATTGTTGTGTTGTTCTTTCATTGTTTGTTTTATCTATTGAACATTTTTTTTCGCGAGTTTTTAATTTACAAAAGAACAAAGTTTGGGTGTATTCTTTAAGATTAATTTTGAAATATATATTTACAAATAAAGAAGGGTTACAAAATATATAAATTACTTAATTTATTTTTCTAGAAAACTGTTAAATTTTATTTTAATTAGGAATTAAAAATAATGACCACATATTTCTGAAAGAAAGCCACCTTCTCTTAATAGTTTCAACCGCTTTGAACCAGTTCTAGTCACAGGTTAATTGGTTTTAAAACAAGAAAAAAATATATTTTTGTACTAATTATTAAATCGTACATTTAAAATAATTATTTACCAACTATATATTGTATTTATAGTTAGTACATTAAATTCTTTATCTTTTACCAATCAATTTTTAATTAAATTAAAAATGAAATCACTTTAAACACCACTGTGCCTCCGCAACCTTCAACCCCACGAAAAAATTATATTTGCCATTTTGGCAATGCCAAATATTGACCGACAAAATATGGTATTGTGTCAATAATATTTGTTTATTTACATGACATCAACACAAAAGGAAAAGTTCGTTACACCAGCCTCTGGGGAAAATTCAGCGGAGAAAATGTTAACAAACGAAATGCCGGCGAGATAGGAGGAAATGCTCCTGACAATTGTGCGGGTGGAAAGCGTTTTTGCATAGATCGAAATTGAGAGAACAGGGCGACTAATTAGGGGAAAATGCCAATTGAGCCATGACAAGATTTATTATTGTCGTGCCGCTGTCATTCGATAATTTATCAGCCCAGAGAATGTTGCAGTTTTTGGCAAGAGGGAAATATATATTTTAGCCACTCAATTAGAGCATGAGGCTTGTTTCGGTGCTATTTTTGATCATCTGTGCACCACTGTGGCGAAGACGTCATTGCTAAAAGTCAGAGAAGAACAAAGACGAGAATGAAAATCGAAAAATGGTGAAAATGTGTGAAAATCATGTGACGACAACAACGAAACAGAATTAGTATCTGGGAATCCGAATCGTAATCGCACTCAACGTGATTGTGGACATGTGCACATCAAAGGTTTTTTTTCACGGGATGCTGTTCTGCCTCAAATAAAACAAACCTTAACAAGTCCGAGAAAAAATAGAGAAAAATCGAAATGAAATGCGGAATGAAAACAAAAAGATCTCAAGACAAACAATTCCCAGTGATCCAATTGATGTGATTGAAATTGAATAATTAATAAAACGTACCTCCAGCAGCGGAGACTGGTTTTCCAGAGGCACTAACGGTCGTTCCGGCACGGGTCTCGTCGCAAAGTAATAGGCAACACTAGCTGCCAGGCTGCTAAGGGTTAAGGTGCCCAAGGTACCACCCAGATAGTACAGATAGCCATCGATCTCATCCCCTGCGAAAAAAGAATACACATGTTGGCAATATAGTAGAAAAAGTAGGAAAAGGATAAGGAATTTACCAAAAATAAGGGTGTTTTTTTTTAATTTTATTAATAACTTACTTAAATAAATATTTAAAAAAATATTTTAAATCAATAAATTAACATTTTAATATAGTTTATTATGTAGGATTTTTAAATAGGTTTGACTTTAACTAGTAAACAAAAGAAATTAATCTTAAAATAATAGTTTTTAATGTTATTTATAATAGTTTTTAATTAACTTATACTACTTTATTTATAATTAGTCAAAGAGGATATATACAATTTTAAATGTTAGGTACTTTATGTGATATTAATAAATAAATTTGATAAATAACAAAACATTAATTTCCATCAGAGCTAATTCACCATAAAAAATAAATAATTATTTTAAATACCTCAACAATTAACTCAATATTTTACCATTAAATTGGTAAACAAAATTCACAAGCCAATCGCTAATTATCATTTCTCATATTTTTGAATTTGCAAAGTACATTTGAATGTTAGCAATTAAACAAACATTATTTATAATATTTAATTTAACAAATTTCACCAATCCAAAGCAATTATATAATATATGAGAAAATCAAAACTATTTCAATTCAAGGTGAAACAGAATACTTACAGAAATATGAAAAATTGCTGACTATTAAATGATTGATGTAGGCCATAACCGATTTCTCCGGCGTCATCGTTTTCTGTTCGTTCTCTTTAACTAATATTATTGTTGTTATATTGGTGTTGTTGTTGTTGCAGTTGTAGTTGTTGTAGTTATTCTTTGCTACCTGAGTGAATGTTACGTGTTTAGCTTAATGATTGCCCGCAAAAGATAGCCTGCAAAATAATCAATAAAAGTGCAAACATCAGTTTTTTCTGTTCTGTATTTATATATATTACACAAATAAATATAGATTTTATAATTGTAGGTTTTTTGAGAAACACTGCACTTGGCCAAGGTGGAGGTTTGTTTTTTTGTAAATATTTCTCAGTTCCCATGCCACACAGAATGCAATCAAGCTGAACCATAGGCCAAAACCACAAAGTATACTTTCAATTTTCTGCCTAATTAGAGGGGTTATCCATATGCACATTACTACACGAATATATATGTATATGGTATAGGTATCTTTATCGATAGATAATTGCCACTGGGCCCCTTGACAAGTCAAGTGACAACAATTAAATTGCGTTCACTATATGATGATTATTTAAATTGGCTCTACATATTTAGCGGATGAGATATATGCAAAGTAATGTATGTAACGAAAATCATTTGTCAAAGTCCACTGATCAATGTCTATATAGAATTTAGTTCTGATGAAATATTTGTACATATATACAACGATTTTGGACAGACAGAAAAATACTTGTCCATCAGTTATTACGGCTTTATCTGCTATGTTTTAAAGGCGTCTTATCAGCCCCTTGCAAAAAACCCGACTGAGAACTGCAACTAAAAAACGAGCAATAAAGACAGATTAAGGTTGGCACTCAAGACGTTTTTATGCGCTCTAATTTTTAATTGTTTACTAAACTTTTATATTCCCCAAACTCTTTAATTCATATTTTTGATGTTTGTCATGAGCCCTATTAACCAGACAACCTTATTTTTATACGAGTCGAAGTTCAAATGTATAACTCATTAATGAAACCGTAAGTAATTAAGACATAAAAGAAAATTGTTTATATTTACAAAGCTGGCCTCTTGCTATCCCATTTGTTTTCAGGTATACCTTTTATTTCTCATTGACTTTTAAATTATGGAATAAAGCCGCTTCCGTCAGCTAGTTGACTTTGATTTGTAATCGTACTTAAACTCAAGCTCAAGCAAATGCACTATAAACTACATTCTTTGGATACACAACTGGTTTTCTAACATTGAATATTTAATTTTAGAATTTCCCATCTAGTTTTCGAAACACTTCTCAAGCTGAAAGAGAAATTCCTGACAATGCCAGAGATTATCCAAAACTGGTTTCCAATTGCATGAGAATATTCTCATTCTGTATAAGGAAATTGTAATGATAAAAATTATCATAAGCAAGTTTTGTTCAATGACAGATAGTCAAGATATTGTTTTTCTCCTGGTTTCTCCCGGAATACAACAATTCTTATTAGAGGTCATTCATATAGAGCTAATATCTTATGCAAATATATCTCAATTTATGGTTTTATTATTTGTATGTTACCATAGAAACATTAGCTAGTAAATAGTTATATTTATCATATCGATATATTAAACATATGCTTTTTCTGGCTTGTCTGGAGTAAAGAAAATATTATTTACATCGCTGAGAGTTCTTAATCCGATTTGTTTTGCCACTTCTGAGTTTTCCCGTCTGCACTTGTGGAAAAGCCAAACAATGTCCAGCCACCGAGCAGACCGACCCACTTCACCCACATGCACAAGAGGCCAGTGGAGCGCATCCACAGAGCTTTTGGATTGCTGATAAGACTTGGGCAGCGCAAAAGAAGAGGCAACAAGAACAGGGAAGCCTTTATCAGTCCGGGAGTGAAACTTTGCACCCAGACATCTGGTCGAGGCCGTCGCCGTCTCCCTAAGCAGATTATTACTCTATGGACAATGCAGACAGACGACGCAAAAAGTTACCCGACTTTTAAATACCCGGCCATTGGAAATGTTAATGTTAAAATCTTTTCCATTCTTTGGGTATTTATTCCATGTTAGCGAAGTGTTTATATCCGATCTTAGCACAGTTTCTCTGATACAGCATTATTTTAAGTTACTTTTACGTGGCTATGATACTTGACATTTTGTTTATAACAAAAGTGAAATGGTAAAATTAAAAAATTAAAATTATGAACTGAAATAACATACTGAAATATATATTATTCTATAACTTATAATAAAATAAATAACTTATAACAAAACGTTTCCTTATAATTCAAATCATTTAAAGTCGTCTCTTGATTTTTGTACATGTGATAAGTAAACAATAGTTTGTCTTGTTAAACCGCTATCTATCACAATATCTTATTTTAGAACCCAAAGCAAACAAAGTTTGTATAAATTTGCCAACTCAGCTCCACAGCATCCCTTCAAGTAGGAACGTCTAAGTAGACGATAAAATTCTCAACTAATTCTAGCATCAAACAGGGAAAAAGTATAAACTATCTTTTCTAATGCTTCTCTGTACTTCTGAAAAATGGGTTCACTTTCAAAACATTACAAAATCTCAATGAGTACAGATCAAGTATTCCTCTTTCTAAATTCTTTGTTTCTTCAGTTCAAGGTGATTTGCAGCTTACCATCACATGCCGGCTGATTTTTGGGTTAGCCTACTTTCAAGGGTCAGAAAAATGTAAATATAAGTAAATTTAGCTCCTTTGTGCGTCCCCAAAAAAGGAAACGTGCTTACATAATGCAACAATATAAGTGAGTTTAGGCCATATATTGATTTTATAGACAGTTTTCTTTTTAGCCGGGTCAAATCAGGTTTGCCCAGATGAGAAGAGGAAAAAGAAGAGAACGAGGTGACGATAAAGGAGGATAAAGAGGAGGATGATGAGGATGGGGCAGCGAACGGGGGGGATAGTGAAAGAGCGAGAGAATCAAAATGAAGCCTACGGAGGTCAAGGCGGGCACACATGCATTTTTTCGGTCATTGATTTTTACTATGTATCTTACCACAAAATCTGAGACTACTTGTAGATGAAACACATTTGTCGGGTGCGTGTATTTATATATATTTTAGGCACTTGGCCATATATCCATCCATACACTTAAATTAGCCTGGGAAAATCAATGAAAAGTTTACGTTTCGGCACTCGCGGGTTCCTCTTCTCTTGTTTTTTACCGGGTCGTTTTTGGGGGGGCGTCGGACAGGCGGGGGGCGAGAAGAGAGAGAGGAAAAGTCTTAGAACCGAGCACGGAATACCAAAAAACCGAAAACTGAAAAAATTACTGCCAAACGTTGCGGCCGAACGTTCAAAACAGAACTGAAGACTGCTAGCGGAGGAACTTGGAAACAAAGTCCAGTCCGTTAGCGTTTGAGTCTCCGCTTGGAGCATGCGTGCAACAACAACAACAAAAATAACAACAACAGCAATCGCATGAATGAAGCCATGCTGAGAACCCAGGGCACAGAGAGAAAGAGAACTTTCTATAAAATGTGTTGCTCAAGATTTAAAATTTAGTTTTGTTTAAGTTACAAAAGTCGACTAAGTAAAAATTGCTGTTGTATTTGTAATCTTAAGAAATTAGAAAAATATATTTATCATATTTAATATATACATTTTGACTACGTTTTCTTTCAGTGTGCGAGAGCTCCATTGCGAGAGTGCCATGTGGGAGAGAGAGCGCCAGCTCCAGTCATAACAAACAACGGCCGAAATGGCAAACAAACTACACGTGCTATATAAATCTGTCAGCGGGAGAGGGGGCGGAGAGCGAGGGTGTGGCAGAGAGCGCAAGGTGCTCGGCTCAGAGTCGGCTGCTGAGAGAGAGCAAGCCAGCGTGGGAGCCTGCAATTGTGTCTGGTTGGTTGTTCTTCTATCGGTTCAAGGGGGAAGGAGGTGCCAGGGAAGCGGCAGACAAACGGCTGACTTTTTATGGTCAGGAGCAATAGGGGAAAGAGGGTGAGTGTGAGAGGGGACAAGTTGTTTGCCTCGCGTGACGCACTTGCTCCATAAGGTCCTGCAATGCGACATGTTTTGCGAGGGTAGACACAATACTATTAAAGGATCTATACATTTCAACCCACTTTAAGGTATTTTTAATAAATGAATAAATCATTTTAGCATTTATTTCTTATATATTATACATATTTTCTTTATATTAGATATTATTTCTGTCCCTGTTACCTTATTATTATCCTTGAATTTGGCAATTCTTATTTTGATTTAACTAAGTAATATCTCAAAAACAATAATTATAAACCACTAACTTGTTTTTAAACAAAATTAAAATATTATTTTGCAATTAACTAAAACCCTACATTTTAATTTCATACTTATTTTTTGAATTTTAAATAGACTTAAAATATTTTGCAATATCTTTGTCGAACACAGATAACATAACTTTACAAGTAGCCCTCGTCCTTTTGAAGGAGCAAAAGACTGCCATATTATTTATGTCCACAACGACAGCTGTCTGTCAAGTTAAAAATTTTATTGTCGAAGAATCTATAATTACTTGTAAAAGGTTAACTCGATTTAACTGTCGATGTTTTTTTAAAAGTCCTTTAAATATAGAATGAGGGAGGAGCAAAGAAAAGTTGGATACATGTAATTAGGTGAATCAGCTAAAAGTGACTGCAAATTGTGCTTGCGTTTCTCAGAGATATGTTCAAGAGTTTGTGTGGGTTTGTGTGGATCCTGTTTATTCAGGTCTTGTAGCTTTTTTATGACTTCCCATAAAGAGCGTAAAGTAAAAGGGGTTTCGAGGGCATAATCAATCAAAACTGAGTGAAAATTCTTCAAAATTTGAATTTTAAAATTCATTCTACACACAACACTTGAAGCGTATCTCTTAAATTTTCATGAAGCATACTTTGAGGCGACTGGATTTAGTGGGTTGTTCAACCGGTAGATACTTTTCGGGTCAGCTGTTGCCCCAGTTTTTTCAAAGGGGCTGCCTTGTCCAGTGGGGTCAGTGTCATTCCTTTCTTTTTTATTTATCGGATTTTGTCAACCGCAAACCGCAAAAGTTTAAATGTTTACTTAAAAACATGAAAAGCTTTTTGCATTCTTTGAAAGAAGAATACTTTAAGTGCTTATTGTTTGGTGAACACTCGAACTATGGACAGCCGTGAGGTGAAAATATCTTTGGAGGATTCCCCCAGCTCCGAGGGAAGCTTTGCAAGTACCACTAGTGGACCATGCTGTGACTTAGGAAGTGATTTGGAAGTGGAGATACATGGAGAAGAGGAGGATAAGCCAGTGGAGAACATGGCACTGAAAAGCCCCAGTGATTTGCAGAAATCCAAGAATGCAAAGAAGAAATGTTCCAGCCAACTTTCAGGAGGAAATAGTTATGCCACAAACAAAAATGTGGCTGAAGGTGGAAATATCAATTAAAATATATTATTTTGACCTATAATCTATTAATACTTTCCTGCAGGTCTTATGGATATAGCTTTACTCTCCGCCAATGCAAATCAGTTAAGATTTTTGATAACCTACAACGACAAGGCCTCTACTTACATATACAGCATGATTATGGTGATACTTTCTCTGGTGCTACAGCTTCTAGTTGGAATAATGCTGATATTTAAGGTAAGAAAAAGTACGAATTAAAAATTGGATCATCTGATATATAAAACCTACCCACCAGAGACGCCTGAAGAGAACCCAGAGCCAAAGCTACGAGAGAATGAATGATCTTCTTGTGATGGGAGTTTTCATGATCACAGTTGTAAACATAATGCTGGCCGCCTTCACCACGACCGATGGCAATGCCCATTGATTAAATTATATTCAAAGTATATTTATATATATATATTTAAAATTGTATTTGATACGATATAACAGAAAGAACTATGTAGTAAATGCTAAGGTAACACGGAGAGAACCTTTAATGGACGACCAAACGATCGTTCAAATTTTTCCAGCGGCTCTCACACATAAATGCACTTGACGTATCTGACGTACGATATCTCAGCTTGTGTGGGGGACTTGGATTCGTTGGGGGGGGGATTATTATTCCTAGCCCGAGTAATCCTTCTTGATGCACTTGGCAATGGTGCTCAGCTGCATGTTGGTGGTGCCCTCATAGATGGCTCCAATCTTCACGTCACGGTAGTACTTCTCCTGGGGGAAATCGCGGGTGAAGCCCACGCCTCCCATCCAGTCGACGCACTTGATTGCCGCTCTCTGGGCCACCTCGGAGGCATAGTACTTAGCCATGGCCGCCTCCTTCTGGAAGGGCACACCCTGCTCCTGCAGACGGGCGGCATTGTAGGTCATCAGGCGGGCAGCCTCGATCTCGGTGGCCACGGTGGCGATCTGGTGCTGCATCGACTGGAAGTTATAGATGGCATCGCCGAATTGCTTGCGCTCCAGCAGATACGGGATGGTGGCATCAAAGGTACCCTGAGCCAGGCCCACCATCTGAGCGGCAATGCCGATGCGGCCTTCGTTCAGGAAGCCAGCTGCATACTTGTAGCCATGACCGAAGGTTCCCAGGATATTCTCCTCGGGCACGCGGACATTGTCAAAGGTGAGCATGCAGGTGCCAGAGGCCCGGATGCCCAGCTTATCCTCAGGCTTGTTCACAATCAGACCGGGGGTCTCGCGATCCACAATGAAGGTGGTGATGCCGCGGTATTTCTGGAATAAATTTTAGAAAATATCTATAATTAGTTTTGGAATAGGAAAAATGAAAAAAGTAATATTCCTTGTTCTAGATTTAAATGCTATAAAAAAACATGTGCCCACTTCTTTAATTAACAATCTATGGATTGAACTTTGATCTGATAGCGATAAGGTGGCAATTATTTAAACACAAATAAAGATTAGCTATGGAAAATATTATAAGATCGATAAGGTGTTGTGAAAAAGTGAAAACTAGGCTCAGAAAAATAATAGAAGTTTTTAAAAATGACCTTCAGCTATTGAAAAAATTTTTAAAGTCTCAAATATTCTATGCTACTTACATCTTCTGGCTTGGCATTGGCAAAGACCAGGAAGACTCCAGCCACATCAGAGTTGGAGATCCACATCTTGGTGCCATTGATCACGTAATGGTTACCATCCTTCTTGGCCACCGTCTTCAGGGAGAAGGCATCCGAACCTGCACCGGGCTCAGTGAGGGCAAAGCTACCAGCATACTCCTGGGCCAACTTGGGCAGATACTTGGCCTTCTGCTCAGCATTGCCGAACTTGATCATCAGCGAGTTGACCAGAGTGTTGTGGATATCCACAAAGGCAGCCACGGCGGGATCGATCTTGGACAGCTCCTCAACCACAATGATGTTGGTCATGAAGTTGCAGCCACTGCCGCCCAGCTCGGTGTCGATCTCAATGCCCATCAGGCCATTCTCGAAGACGGCCTTAACCACGGAGGGATCGAACTTGTGCTCAAAGTCCATTTTCTTGACCAGGGGCTGGATCTGATCCTGAGCCAGTTTGGCAACTGAAATTGGTAAATTAAATATATTTTTTTTAATATTTTTTTATTATTAGAATTATTAGAAAGTTAAATTAATAAATTATTAAAAGTATAAAGCTTTTTTCAAGATCATAAAAAGTTCTCTTAGTAAAAACAACATAATGATCTTTAAGTAAAAGCTTTAACTAAAGTTTTTAGAAAGCTTCAAAAAACTTTTAACTGCACGTTTTCTTAACTACAAATCGGTCATAAAACGAGTCTAAAGCTTTTTTTTATTTATTTTCTACTCTGTTCTGCCTTTTTTTCTTCTAAGGGGCCTGATGTGTTCGCTATGGGGGGTTCTGTTTGTATAAGTTGGGGTATGTCTCTATATAAACATGTTCATATATACTAGTTGTATATATTGGATACAAATTCTATGTGTGGGTGTTGGAGCGTGTGTCTTTTTATCAGCAGATTCTCCTCACAGTATTCTCTGATCGCGTGGGGCTCTCTGAGCACTTTTTTTTATTTTCATTTCTATTATTCTCGCAGACCGTTTATTATTGATCTTTTTTAAGCATTTATTTTTTCCTGATTTTGTTTTGTTGCCGGTCTAAATGGCCACCAACTGGCACACCCACTAAATTTCTCACAACCTCTTATTCCTGCTTTTTGCATTCGTTCTATGTCTTGCATTCATCATGGAAAGTATTTAAATTATTTACTTAGTTTGTATATTCATTTAGTTTTCCTCACCATATGTGCGATGGACATGGAACTTTTTGAACAGGTGTGACGTGTCCCAAGGAACACAATAAAACAATTTATTTGTCCTAGTTTTGGCAAAAAGAAAGAGTCCTTTCTTTATAAAATAAATTCCAGCTGGATTTTTATACTTTTTTTTTTTTCGATTTTATTAGCTTTTGAAAAGAGGGCTGACTGTACTAGTTTATGGAATATTTTGTGGGCAGCTGTACCAGTTTTTGGCACTCTTTGTAGACAACTGTATCAGTTCTTAAAAAATTTTTAGTTATTTGAATTTAAAATTCTTGTAAAATCTAAAAATCTTTACTGTACTTGTACTTAAGAGTACTTGGAAAAAAATATAAAAAACCAGTTAAACTTTATGCACTTAGCCACTTTGCATTCAGCTCAGATTACGCAACCATCGGACCATTTAGACCCACACACTCGCACCTGAGAATATTTCCATACATATATAGGAAACCATATAGATTGAGACCAACTTAATGTTTGATAAGCGAGGGACAAAGGAATATTTATTTGGCAAAATATGAGTAAAATCATGAGTTGGAAAGGAATATTTATTTGAGAAAATAAAAAATATGATAAAATTAGGGTAAAAAAGTGTAACCTTCCCAACTAGGACTTGGCTGGATGGCGATAAGGAGGTGAGTCCTTTTCGCTCAGCCAATTCAACTCTCTAGGGAAGGGCGCCACCAAGAGCCACGCCCCCGGTTGCCCGGCGTGATCACTAGAACAGTGACCACAGGTGGGCGGGGGGCGTGAAACAGTGGCATTTAATGCTCTATCACAAGTGTAACGCTTTCCGGTTGACGTTGAAAAACCAAAACCGATCAGCTGACTGACTTGTGAAAAATCGAAAGGGTATTAAAATGGGGTTTCATTCATTTTTTAAGGACTGGGAAATTTTTTTAAAGGAAGAGAGGCTTCTGATTCTATTGATATTTGAACTCGCGCTTTGGGTAAGGTCTGTTTTTTTTCCTTGATTTTACCGGCAGCTCAACGAGGAACGCCAACGCCGGCCAAGCATAAGCAACGACGAAAATCGTGGTTGAGCAGCGGCAGCAGCGAAAAGCTATTTTTAGCCCACGTGTGTGAGCGAGCGTTTCTAAGTGTGTGTACACGCCACCCACCCCCTTTTTTTGAGAAATTATTTTATTAAACATTTTATTTGTAGTCTAAAAAACTGCCTAATAATAAATTAAAAATGAAGAAAAATAAATTAGAGCAATGGAAAAATTTTGGTCTTAAGAAAAAGCCAATGATAAGGTTAGACCTTGAACTTGCCAGGTTGGCAGCATATTAAAGTAATATTTATAAAGCTTTTAAGGAACATAAAATATCCTTAAAAATTCAGCCAGCAGAAAATGCATTTTTAAGTAATATTTTTCTTCACAATTTCACTTTTGTCACAGTTATTTATTTTTTTTTGTTTTTTACAGCAACAAATTAGAAAATTTGTACTAAAACAATTTCTTATAATTTTTCACAGTTTGTATTTTTAGTTAAAAAAATATTTTCACTTTAAGATTTTGCCGCTCTATTAAGGATAAACATTAACCTATAAAAATATTATAATTTATATAAATACACATAACTCATTACTTTACTCTTCCCAATGTAAGTTTTTAAAGGATAACAGTATCCTTAAAACAGATCTACGTCAAATACTGTATGACAAAAAAAAAAACATAAATTATATAATTTTTGCGCACCCACCAGGCAAGTTAATTCAATTAACTTCTTGGTCACTATAAAGTCAAATCAAATAAAGGCAAACAATAAAGAAAATCATATACAAGTAACAAAGAAAATTTCCCCAAAATAATATATAAATTAATATCAGCAAGAAAATCCTCCAAACCTGCCGGGACTGATATTAAATGACATTTTACTTCCACTATCAAAATAAAAATGTGCTTATCTGGCAAAGCAGACTACCCCTCCACTCTCTGTTCCCCTAACTAAACACACTTTATCAGCAGAAAAAAGGAAAAATAAATACTCGAAAAATAATTTTACCTTCTTTATATTAATGCATCCTAGTTTATAATAGAGAATTGAAAACAAATAGTAAATAACAACAGGGGCAGCATCAATATGCGATGCTCGGAGTTACGTAACAAGCAAGACTAACTAAACACCATAAAAAATATATAAAAATTCCGAATAGCAAGTAAAACACGCTTATCGTTCTGGGGTTATATCTAGAACTTGCAGAGATCTATATAGTTCAAAAGGTAACTCACCAGTCTCCTTCATCATCTTCTCGTCGTCGGTGAGGAAGGTGAGCGGGGGAGGAAGACCGGTCGCCGAGGACATTGCTGCATTTTGCTGACGTGCCGCATTAGCCAGCTTAACACAAAAAATATAAAAAAAAATTAGACCACAAATTAATATAATTAAAGCCATAATGTCTCTTTGGGGGGCGTGGCATACACTTACCATGCGCACGGGCAGTTTCTTCAGGCTGTTCATCATCTTGATTGTGTGGTGGAAATATTAATTTAATCAAGTGGCCAAACTGGACTACACATAGGTTTTTAGGACCGGATCAACACCACAACGGCGACCAGTTGCTCAAACGCGAATGAATCTCCATTCTCCAGCAGCAGTCGCGATCACCGAAGAGCAAGAAGATTTTCAAACTCAAGCTTTTCACCACACCAATTTAAGTTTTTTTACGAAGCTTAAAGCAGTTTAGTTATCGATTCTATAATTTTAAAAATTCTGTAAGCATACTTTTTATACAAAAAAATAAAATATATAGAAACCCTAATAATATTCGTATTTCCCCATTCCTAAAAAAAAAAATATATATAAGTAAGCATTACTAAATGTTATTTAAATATTAAAAGAAATAGAGTAGATCAATGTAAATAACGGTGTGTGGGAACACGAGTTTCACTTTTTTTAAAAATTCCAAACGTTCCTCACAAATGTGCTGTGTGAGAAGACATATTAATATTGTTATCGATACTTATCGGTTTGGAAAATTAAAGCAAAATTAAAAATAAAATAAAATATGTAATCTGAAAAATCCAAAGTAATTTCAAACAAGAATCATAAAAAGTAAACTTCCAACAAACCAAATTATTTTATAATAATAAAATAAGGGAGAAATCACCACATAAAGTCAGCCGATGACAGCTCCCAAATATCGCTTCGAGTATCGCCCCATTCCGGCTTTTTCCCATCGCTAACCGCGACCCAACTGTCAAATTTCTTTCTTTTCGTTGTTTTTACGACGGTAAGTGCGTTTTCGTGGTTAAATTCGTTTTTGGCCTGCCATCCCTTCATATTATTAAATATAAACAGTGAAAAAGGGGGCAGAAGACATGGCCAGACTCGAAAACGTAATTATTTCGAATTTCCGAGAAACCGAAATTGACGCCGTGCACCCTTTTTGTTTACAGTCCGCAGCACAAGCAAGATGAAACTGAACAAGTTCGTGTCGTCGTCGCGCAGGAAGAACCGCAAGCGCCACTTCCAGGCTCCCTCCCACATCCGTCGTCGGCTAATGTCCGCCCCGCTGTCCAAGGAGCTGCGCCAGAAGTACAACGTGCGTTCCATGCCCATTCGCCGCGACGATGAGGTCCAGGTAATCCGCGGCCACTTCAAGGGTAACCAGGTTGGCAAGGTTGTCCAGTCCTACCGCAAGAAGTTCGTCGTCTACATTGAGAAGATCCAGCGCGAGAACGCCAACGGCACCAACGTCTACGTGGGCATCCACCCCAGCAAGGTGCTGATTGTCAAGCTGAAGCTCGACAAGGACCGCAAGGCCATCCTGGAGCGTCGTGGCAAGGGACGTCTGGCTGCTCTCGGCAAGGACAAGGGCAAGTACACCGAGGAGACCGCCGCTGCCCAGCCTATGGAGACCGCGTAAATTACCGGCAAACAGTCTGGATCGCAATCGCCTCTGTGACGTCACTGTTTACTGTTTTTACCGTAACGATTAGTGTAAAAAACAAAAACAACTAAAAAATCGCGTGTGAAAATGGCGCCATTCTTTAAAATAAAGAACAGTTGATTTTTCGCAATAATTGACCAAGTTTTGTTTCCATTTAAATATGTATTACAAATGTTTTCAATGGTGTTATCTTGGATCTGGCTGTGGATTTATGTATATTTGCTCCAGGTTATTTTGTTGACACTTCTTGATTATCTTGTGCATTGTTTAATAGAGTTTAACTTAATTAAATGAATTAGTGGAAAATATTTCTTGGTTTACATATGCTTTCATAAATGTTAAATGCCTCAACTTAAATTTGTGATGAAAAATAGTAGAGATTAATTTGTAAAATTACAATAAGTCTTTAAGGAAGTGATTATTTTCTCAAAGATTTATTTAAACAAGTTGCTAGAAATTCAATGTGGGCTTTTGCCAAGGCTTAATTTTTTATTCTAATAGAGTGTCAAATTTCTTCTGGCAGTATCTCTATTATACTTTTAAAATTGCTTGGCTGGTTTAGGCGTTCTGCTTTCAGATTTTGGAGTAGCAGGGATTAGGAAAAGTAAATTTACACATATTATATTAAGATGAGTTTATATTTGGACACATGTTGATGGTTTTTTTTTATACATAAGTATCTATGAGCTATGAGAAGGCACATAAAGGGCTTTGGTATTTGTAAGATCAAATGTTCTTATTCTCAGTAACGGCGCCCTGAACGCTGCTTGTTGGAATTGTAGGGAGCGTGACGATTCTCCTCGCGGTTCTTGCCCTTCGCCGGTCTCGGCTCCTCCTCGTAGTCTGCGCCTAACTGGCGTTTGTTCTCCTCCTTAATGAATGCCTTTCGCTGCGCTGGGAACATTCCAGTGGGCTCCCTCACAATGTTGGCGGTGGCGCAATAGGCCATAGGATTGTAATCGGGTGTGTCGTCATCGTCCCAGTTCTCGTCGCACTCGATTTTGGCATGCTTGGTGTCTTCGCTCAAAACGGCAGCTGCACTGGTCTGATACTGGACTATAATCTTGCGATCGTCGCAGATTTTAAGGTGTGGCTATAGAAAAATTGGGTTTTAGGTGGCGTGTACTTCATATTTATAGCATAACTTACATAGTATTCTGGTTCTGGGATCAAATGCGCCTTATTGAAAGGGCAGACCATTAGATTTACCGTGTCCTTGTAGAGCTCACGACACTTTATGATGTGCTGCTGCAGTTTCTTGCGCAGCATTTTGTGCGCCTTGTTGTACGGACAGTATACCATATCGGATTCATCGCAGTCCATGGTTAATTAATTAAATTCAATTGAGATGAATTTCGAGATTCTGACTTTTTGTTTATGCCTCGCTTCTTGCAGATAAAGTGTTGGTAAGCGTTGGAAACTCGGCAAGCCAGTGCTGTTAAAACTCAAAAGCCGTCCGATAGTTGTCACGTGTGAAACACATAAAAAATATATAAATATAAAATATATATGTAAATAAATGTTGATTTATGTTTATTGTTAATATAGAAAAATAAATAAACATAATATAGGGTGTTTACTTTATATCAATTAGGAGAAGCATAGTTAAAATAAGTCAGAATTCCCTTCTGGTATAACATATATATTTATTAAAAATTAATATATTATGTATTTGTAGCCCTAAACTTTATTTTCTTATATTTTGCCTATTTAATTTAATTTTATATCGAACGATATATCGTATACACAAATGTGCCGTGACCCAGTGCTCATCCCTAGTTTTCTCGATAACGCCATTTTACAACACTGCTTTCTTTTAATAAACAACGCAGCTGTGAAAAATATTTTTAAATATCTAAATACATCATTTTAATTTGTTGTAATAGTTTGATAACCACAGCAGCAAGATGGGCAAGGGATTCAACAACTACATGTGCAAGAAATTCTTTCACCCCGCCTCCAGGGACAATCTAAAAAGGGTACGGTTGTGATTCCTCTGATGAAATTGACATTTCCTGGAAAGAATCTTCAATATGAATCTACTTACAGGTATGGATGGCAGAGCAGCAGGCGGAGGCTTACAAAAAGAAGCAAGAGGAGCTGCGCAATCAGTATGAAAAGGAGCAAAATCTGCACGAGAATAAGGCGATGCTCAGCAAGGACAGCAAGGATAAGCTGAGTGTCAACTTCATGTACGAGCCGCCGCCAGGAGTGCGAAAGGAGCGCGAGAAGGACGACAATGAGCCGGAGTACAAGTTCGAGTGGCAGCGCAAGTACAATGCTCCTCGAGAATCATATTGCAAGGGTGACACAGAGATTCGGGACCAGCCCTTTGGCATCCAAGTGCGCAACGTCCGCTGCCTCAAATGCCACAAGTGGGGCCACATCAACACAGACAAGGAGTGCAGCATGTACAGCATCTCGATGAGCGAGGCCCGAAAATTACACGCGGAAAGCGAGGCCACTGACATAATGTCCAAGAACGTCCTGGAAGAGCAGATGAAAGAGGATGGCTTCATGATGAAGCGTTCAGCAATGGAGCTGCAGAGCATTCACGCTAACCGCCAGCAGCATCAACTGGTGCCCAGCGATGGCGAGGAGGAGGCAGCCAGCTCCCATACCCAAAACCCAGAGCTGCTCTTTCTTAAATCGCTGTCCAAGAAGCAGAAACTGAAGCTCCTGAAAAAGCTGGAGAAGATTGAGCGCATGAAGCGTAAGGGCGATCAAGCCATCAAAAAATCTTCAAAGAAAAAGTCCAAAAAGCAAAAAGATGAAAAGGAAGGCAAGAAAAGAAAATCCAAGAGCGAAAAATCAGGGAAAAAGGACAGAAAATCTTCAGTTGGCGACAGTAGTTCATCATCTTCGTCCTCCTCATCCTCGGATAGTGAGGACAATCGCAGAAGTAATCACAAAGAGGACAAGAGAAGCAGTCAACATAAATCCAGGGATGCTGAGGACCATCACCATCGACGTAGGGATGAGCAGAGGAATCGCAGGGATCGGTCTCGATCCAGAGATCGCTCTCGTTCCGGCAGCCGAGATAGGAGGAGGGAGAGAGAGCGCCGGGATCATCATGCCAGGCGATAAGACTTTCTTTGTGACACAAATCCAAATCCACCAATAAACTATATCAATCATTTTTATATCTTCATCAAAAACTGACATATTTTCATAAATTCCTTGGTCACGAAATTAGATCCTGGCCAGCTGTGCTGTTGTAGAGGATCCAGCGGAGACGCAGAGCTCGGCGCCATGATTGCTACCGCCCTCGCGCGAGATGCTCTTCACATGGATGTGGCTCTTGAGCATGGCAGCCCTAAGGATGAGCATCCTGGCATGACGCTGATACTGCTTGCCCATAATCAGGGCCCGCTCGAAGGTGCTGTTCCGCTGGTCCGCCTCCTTGGCATACAAAATCTTGTTGTGCGAATCGATGCGCGCCTGGATCTGCCCGTCCAATATTAGCTGCATGACCTCGTTCTCCAGATCTCCAACCGATGAATTGAAAGCCATGGCCATTTTGTGCATGTCCGCGGACATATATGGACTAAAGTACTGGATCAGCGCACGATTGCGTATCTTGGTGTAGAGAGCGGTGACATGGGGCGCTATATACATGTCCACCAGCAGATTGTCGCGGATCTCGTCCAGCAGGGTCAAGCAGGAGGCATACTTGCTTTCGTAGAACTTGAATATAATATCCCGCAGCTGCGGCTCCAGTTCCAAAAACAGTTTGAACGATGTGGAGGCAATGACCAAGCGCTTAAGCTCCGGACGATCGAAGGTGGCCAAGGCGCAGAGTCCACCGTAGACAGCCACATTACTGGTGGAGATCATCTCGGGGAAATCGCAGTGATCAAAGTTGGCGTTAAGAAAATGCTTGGCTGCCACCTTGTACTTCTTTTGCTGCAACTCTGCCAGTCCGGCGGCGCACTCCAGGCGAGTGTGCACCTGGGCATTTGCCTCCTTGGAGCCCTCGGCAAAATCGGGTGTGCTCTCCGCCTTGGAAATGTAGCTCATGACATGGGCCCAGTTCTGCAGATATATGGACACCTTGATGACGTTGAGGCACATGTTAACCACATGCTTGCCACTGGTGCAGTAGTCCCTGGCCCGGGAGTAGCACTTTAAGGCGTTGGTGAGGTCGCCGCAGCTTAGATAATGATCAGCCAGGTCATCGTGACCACGACGAATGCTCTCCTTGATCGAATTGGACTTGTAGTTCTTCAGATCAGAGTCCAGTTTCTCCAGCTTTAAAGCGGCTTTCTTCATCTTTGTGTCCACCCAGACGGCGTCATAAGCAAAGGCATCCTTCTCGCCGGCGGGCTGAGCCTGTCCCTGAGCCTGGGCCACCGGCTGAGCGGCTATATCCGGCAAGGGAGCAGCGACCGGAGCACCGGGAACAGCAGCAGCAGCAGCGGCCGCTGGTTGATCTCCCACAGCCGGCGGAGCTGGTGCATTGCCGGCATTCAGATCGGCCAAGCGCTTGTGCAGCACCTGGTATAGGTTGACGTTGTAGGTGCTCTGGACATAGGTAATGGCCATCTTCAGGGCTTCCACTGCCAAGACTGGGCAAACGTCCGCCACATAAATCAGGCGATGCAGACGCACGATCCCGGAATATTGATTGGCGTAAACCTCCAAGTCGATGCTCGGGTTCTCCACCACAATCTGCTGCTCCTCATTGTTTTCGTTGTCCTCGTTGGGCGGAGCATCCACTTGCATCGGCTCCACGGCGTTCTTTTGTTTGCGAAAAACACAAACGTTAGTAAGGAAATAACCGACGTACGACGTAGTTTGATGGCTATTCTCACCTGCATAAGTGGCGGAATCGGCAGGACGGGCATCTTGCGACGATTTGCTTACAAAAATTCTCACTGGTTATTGTTCCGTCAATTTATTTGTCCCGATTTGCAAAATATTCCAGTTTTCGCATCGATACCGGCACGAATTAGAGATGGGACAATCGGAGTCACGAAAAAAACAATATAAAAAATTCTCATATACAATTATAATTTAATTTAAATTTTATTTACATCATAAAATCTTTTGAAAATAGTTCTATGTAGACTTTGAATTTAATGTTTAAAAATTATATTAAAAAGAAAATAGAGCACAAAATCACAGTTTTAGTAACTGTGACTTGTTATCGCTCACCTCTAGCTGAGTGCATCGATATCTGCCAGCACTTTCCAACACTGTTTTGCCACAGACAAGAAGAAGAAGCGCACCACGCAGCGATAAACTTGCAATTGTTTGTGAAATAAACTAAATAAAACAGTAAATAAGTAAAGTAAACAAATAAAACCAATTCAACATGTCGAACATAACGGCAGCGGTAATAGCAAACCGCAACAAGAAGCATTTCCTGGGCGTTCCCGCTCCTTTGGGCTATGTGGCCGGTGTTGGTCGCGGGTAAGTACTGAAAATTTCACTTTCCTCTCCCAAAAACTATAATTTTAATGGTTTCTGTGTCATTTTAGAGCCACTGGCTTCACCACCCGTTCGGATATTGGTCCAGCCCGTGATGCCAACGATGTGTCCGACGATCGGCATGCTCCGCCTGCCACCAAACGTAAGAAAAAAGACGAAGAAGAAGAGGAGGACGAAGACTTGAACGACTCAAACTATGACGAGTTTAGTGGTTACAGCGGCTCCCTGTTCTCCAAGGATCCGTATGACAAGGATGACGAGGAGGCGGATGCCATCTACGATTCCATAGACAAGCGCATGGACGAGAAGCGTAAGGAATATCGTGATAGAAGACTGCGTGAAGATCTAGAGCGTTATCGCCAGGAGCGACCGAAAATCCAGCAGCAGTTCAGCGACCTCAAACGCTCCCTGGCCAGCGTCACTTCGGAGGAATGGTCCACCATACCGGAGGTGGGTGATAGTCGCAACAGAAAGCAAAGGAATCCCCGGGCAGAGAAGTTTACTCCCTTGCCCGATAGTGTTTTATCGAGGAGCCTGGGCGGCGAGTCATCCTCCACGTTGGATCCTTCGTCTGGCTTAGCCTCTATGGTACCTGGAGTGGCCACACCTGGCATGCTAACACCCACCGGAGATTTGGATTTGCGAAAGATTGGCCAGGCTCGTAATACCCTGATGAATGTGAAGCTGTCGCAGGTTTCCGATTCCGTAACTGGCCAAACGGTGGTGGATCCCAAGGGCTACCTTACGGACCTGCAGAGCATGATTCCCACCTATGGCGGGGATATCAATGACATTAAGAAGGCCCGCTTGCTGCTGAAAAGTGTGCGAGAAACTAACCCCAATCATCCGCCCGCTTGGATAGCTTCTGCCCGTTTGGAGGAGGTGACCGGCAAGGTTCAGATGGCCAGAAATTTGATAATGCGTGGCTGTGAAATGAACCCCCAGTCGGAGGATCTTTGGTTAGAAGCAGCTCGCCTCCAACCGCCGGATACAGCAAAGGCGGTCATAGCACAAGCTGCTCGTCATATTCCCACGTCTGTTAGGATTTGGATCAAGGCTGCCGATCTGGAGACTGAAACCAAAGCCAAACGTCGGGTATTCCGCAAGGCTTTGGAGCATATCCCAAACTCTGTACGTCTGTGGAAAGCCGCTGTGGAGCTGGAGAATCCAGATGATGCCCGGATCTTGCTTTCCCGAGCTGTGGAATGCTGCAACACCAGCGTGGAGCTGTGGTTGGCCCTTGCCCGCTTGGAAACCTACGAAAATGCTAGAAAGGTTCTGAACAAAGCCCGTGAGAATATTCCTACGGATCGTCAGATTTGGACAACGGCTGCCAAGCTTGAGGAAGCCAATGGCAACATACACATGGTGGAGAAGATCATTGATCGTTCGCTGACTTCGCTGACTGTCAATGGGGTGGAAATCAATCGGGATCACTGGTTCCAGGAGGCCATTGAGTCGGAGAAATCGGGAGCCGTCAACTGCTGTCAGGCCATTGTAAAGGCTGTCATTGGAATCGGAGTGGAGGAGGAGGATCGCAAGCAGACCTGGATTGATGATGCAGATTTTGTAAGTATAAATATCATATTTCTTATATCCTTTATGCTTTTCTAACATTACTTATCCCTCTTCTAGTGCGCCAAGGAGAATGCTTTCGAGTGTGCTCGTGCCGTCTTCGCCCATGCCCTCCAGGTGTTTCCCTCCAAGAAGAGCATTTGGCTGCGAGCTGCTTACTTTGAGAAAAACCACGGCACCCGCGAATCCCTGGAAGCCTTGCTGCAACGTGCCGTTGCCCATTGTCCCAAATCAGAGATTCTGTGGCTAATGGGCGCCAAATCCAAGTGGATGGCCGGGGATGTGCCAGCAGCAAGAGGTATACTCTCATTGGCCTTCCAGGCCAATCCCAATTCCGAGGACATTTGGTTGGCTGCCGTTAAGCTTGAGTCAGAGAACTCGGAATACGAACGGGCGCGGCGTTTGCTGGCCAAGGCTAGAGGATCGGCTCCCACGCCCCGAGTTATGATGAAATCGGCCCGTTTGGAATGGGCTTTGGAGAGATTTGATGAAGCTCTGCGGCTACTTGAAGAGGCCGTGGAAGTATTTCCCGATTTCCCAAAACTTTGGATGATGAAGGGTCAGATCGAGGAGCAACAAAGGCGAACAGATGATGCGGCTGCCACCTACACACTGGGCCTGAAAAAGTGCCCCACATCCATTCCTTTGTGGATTTTGTCGGCGAATCTGGAGGAACGCAAAGGGGTGCTGACCAAGGCGCGTTCTATACTAGAACGAGGTCGTCTGCGTAATCCCAAAGTGGCTGTTCTCTGGCTGGAGGCTATACGGGTGGAGCTACGTGCAGGTCTCAAGGAGATAGCCAGCACCATGATGGCCCGAGCATTGCAGGAATGTCCAAATGCAGGCGAACTCTGGGCCGAGGCCATCTTTATGGAAACGAAACCTCAGCGGAAGACCAAGTCTGTGGATGCGCTCAAGAAGTGCGAGCATGATCCTCATGTGCTGTTGGCTGTGTCCAAGCTGTTCTGGTCGGAGCACAAGTTCTCCAAATGCAGGGATTGGTTCAATCGAACGGTAAGCATTGATATATAGTTTTTTATTAAGTTGAAAGTCCAGCTAATTCTTGGTTTATTTCAGGTTAAAATTGACCCAGATCTGGGCGATGCTTGGGCGTATTTCTACAAGTTTGAATTACTTCATGGCACAGAGCAGCAACAAAAGGAGGTCCTTGATCGCTGTATTGCCGCAGAACCGACGCATGGCGAGTCCTGGTGTCGCGTCAGCAAGAACATACAAAATTGGCAGTTCAAAACACCGGAAACGCTGCGAGCCGTTGTCCGGGAACTGTCCATACCCATCTAAGTTTAAGTTTCTTTATTATTTTATAAAATAAATATATATCTTGTGCAGTCCTAGCGCTGCATCTCTCGATAACCTTTAACAATGCCATAGACTAGCTTAAAGTGCTTGAAGATAAACTCGCAGAGAAAAAGGCCAAAACTGGCGGCAGCTCCACAGCCAAAGATGCCGAAGGCATAGCGGCATTCGGTGATGCCAATGGAGACAAAGCCACCCACTCCGCCCTCGCATTTGGGCTTCTGGGGTATCCATTTGCGGTCCTCGCGATTCACCAGGCTTACCTCCCTTTGCCAACGTATTCTGGGGAGAAAAAAGCGTAATTCTGGCGGCTATATGGAATCTAGAATCTTCTACTCACTGCCTTCGTATGAGTTCCTTGTAAGGAAAATTTTTCCTGGTGGGAATAGCCAACATGGGCAGCTGAAATGGCTCTAGTTCCATCAGTCCACACTTTTCCGGCTCACTAAATGTGTCGCTGACGATCTGATAGCCCGCCTGGAGTTCCACTTGATATGCAAAAAGACCAGTCCGCATTCTTTCCATACCCAAAACCGGGCGTATATAGACATTGTCACCCTTGGAGGCAATTTTCTTGTGATACAAATTCTTGGTCACCGGATCCGTGGACTCGGTAAAGTATATCTTATTGTACTGGGTATCCTGAACGCCAATTTCCAGGGGCGATTGGCCCAGATCAGCCAGCGATCTAATTGCATCCGAGGGACTCTGCAGCAAAGCCACTATATTTGCCGAAAAGGAGGTAAAAAGAAAAAGGGCCGACACAAAAGTGGTAAAGACTATGATCCTGGCCGATCTATTCCGAACCTCCACATAAAATCCTTGCTGACACATGGCGCCCCAAACAAAGTTCAAGGTATCCATGTAGGCCATATCGTGAGTGTGGGGTGAATAGAGCAGTTCTACGACCAGAACAACCGTGGTTATGATCAGCAGCATTAGGATAGAGATCCACACATCGTTCTCGAAGGGCATGGCAAATATATTGGCCACCGCTGATAGCGGTGGTTGTCGGAACATAATCCCAGCTCGCACGCGATATGTTTCGGCCACAAAATCCACCAGAGCTACGCGATCCAATCTCATGAAGATTGCCAGCTGGGCAAAGTCAAGTTCGTAGCGCTGGAAGCGACCCATCAAGCCATCGAAGGAACCATTTGGCTGACGCCAACCATAGTTGACGGTTTGATAAGTATTGTAGCTGGAATTAAAGAGAATTATTATATTATTATTAAATTATTCTCTCACCTCATATTCAATCTATTGGCCAGTTCCAGCATCAAGCGATGATTAACCTTGGATATGGTATCAATATGTCGGAGCGACAAGTCCTCAATGTTGGTAAAGACATCAGGAAACGCTATAACTATGGCCGTATTGAAAACAATCCCCTCCAGATTTTGTCTATAAGTAATTGCCGAACCAAAGTGCTGCAGGGCATGGATAATATGCCTTCTATTTCGAATGTTTCTTCCCACCAATGTTCTCTTCAGGGGCTTCCAGGCAGCCACCTTATATAGATCTATCAGGCTCGATGAAAAGTTGCTATCCAATCCCTCATAATGGAGAACCCTCAACTCGCTATCTGGAGGAATGAATATCTCTGGATCCTCCAGTAAATCGATGTCTTCCTTGTCCTCAGTGAGCAGCAACCAAAAACGGTTGGTGGTAAAGTAATTGTGCTCCGATGCCGCTGACCATCGGAGCAAATTCAAGGCACACTCGCTGCGGAATTCTAGCAGAAGGATACCCAATTTGTACGATGACTTGGGAAGTATAAACGATGTGGCCCAGTGGGTGGAGTTGTTGGCATGGAAAGTTTGGGGCGGTGGAGCATCCATCTGTTCGTCCAGGACATCGACATATTGCAGGTCCCTCAACGATGGCTCCGTACTGACCTGCACATAGAAATCATTGAGGTTGAAGTGCTGCCACAGCGTCCAAAGACGGGCATCCGCTGAAAAAAAGGGGGAAAAAAAAGCATACAGAGAAATTTCTAGTGTATGTTTATTATATTTCGTAAAAGTAAATCTTAAGAATTTATTCAAGGGGTTTAAAAACAGGAATTACATCCTTTTTAACTAAAAAAAATTTGAATAACCCTCAAAGGTATTATCAAGGAAAATCCTTTATTGCTTAAATTTTTGCTCAGTGCTTTGTTGGGTCATAAATTTGTGCAAAAAAGCACATTGCATGCAGAGGGTTAATTCACCAATGTCCGTGTGACAAACGACCAGCATCAGACTGTGAACGCCGTGGTGGCGATAGTAAGCGACTAGCATATCCGGCAACTGATTGCCCCACGGTGTTTTCGAGTTCGGTTCCGGATCCTCTAGGGAATACTCGCTTCGCCAGCTGCCAGTGACACGTGGCTCCGCCGCACTGACAGCGACGACTACGAAAAATAGCAGGGGTAGCCAACGGTGCCAGCGGAGCCAGAGGATAACTTGAACTTTCATCACTCCGAATACTAACGAGTTGCTGTCCCAACGCTTTTGCATTTTCCCGGCGAACGACGAACTCGTATTTTTTCGCTGCTGGTCCCTGTTCTGACTTTTATAGCCAAAAGACATTCCGCCTGTAATTGCATTCAAGAAATTGCATTAAAATTATGCATTGATTACGGTTCACTGGACACTGTTCGGTGCAGGACATCGGTATTCCTCCCCCCTGCCCATCTGCTGTCATTACGTTGGGCAATCTTCGCGAGCAATTTCGCGACAACTGCAATTGGTCATCGATGGCGTTTAATTGGTCCAAGCAAGTGGCGCACAAATTGTCCTCGTGGAAAGTGCGGACAAAGTCAATTACGTGTCAACGACGAACGGAATGGAGAAAGTTGGCAGAGAGTTTCAGGACTTGGTTTGGCTTTCGGATAATCACCTACTCGTAACTTTCAGGGTCACCAGGTTGGATGCGTCTTGGGTCTAGTGAACGGATTTGGAAAGTTTTTGTGTATCTTTTTGGGTTTTGGTTTGTTTTTTTTTTATATATTATTTAAACATATAGTTTTATTAAATAATAAAAAGATTATAAATGATTATACTTACATTAATATTGATATTTATTCAAGTGTATTTTCCTCAGAACCTAATTTAAATATTCCAAATCCAGAAAGGTTTTAAAAAAAACTACATATTTCAGCTCTTTGACATTAAAGGAACTATGTTAGCTTATTATTTTTAAAGTTTAAGAACTTACTGTATCAAAACGAGGCTTAAACATTAATTCTTACTGGAAATTTCTCTTCTACATAATTTTCAACCAAAGCCATCTGCATTCACTGAAACTACTTTCAAACAAACTCACTCTCTTTTCGAGTTAAATTGTGTGTGCAAAATCTTCTTTCAGGCTTAAAAACCAACTTTAAATAAGCAGAATAAAATCAGTTAAAGAGCCAAGTTTCAGCCCGAAAGCATAGACATTAAGAAGCAATTAAGAAAATTGAATAGGAAATAAGAGAACAAAAAAAGTAAGCAAATTTGACCAAACTTGGGGGAAAGACACATACATGTACACATGTGTATAAACCCACACATTATGCCGGCAAACAGGAACTGGTATTAGCCTGATGTCACAAGGACAATAACAAAAACAATGCCTAGGACACGTATGGCCCACACATACGACATTAACACAATTACAATCTGAACATGTGTTAGTCTCCTAAGACATGCGTTGACTATAAAGAAAAATCCAATTAAAAGTGATAAAAGTTATTGAAGCGTAGCTCAGCCAGAAGGAAAAACCGTCGGAGAATAACAACAGGAAAAACAAATGGCCGAAAAGCGGAAAGAAAAGGACAGGGAAGGCAGACCGGAAAGGAAGGCCTACAAAGTGGCTGCCATTAGTGGCATTGGTCCCGGACTATATGTAGCGCTGATTGCAACACCAGATTATCGCACACAGATTTCGGCGAGTGGCGAGACATGCCAAGGACGAATCAAGATTTGGGACTCTTACCGGGTTGGGGGCTGGCCGGCTGGCTATAATCATTCATCCACCGAAGACGAGCAGGAACAGACTAATTTTCCACTCCTAAAAACACTTTCCGGATCAATTAAAGTTTGAAAAGGAAAATGAAGATAATTTAGAAGAGGGTAGCTGAATTTTAAAGCGAATTGTTAATTGGGTTGATGGATTTTTATACCCTGGCAGGGTATTATAAGTTCAGTCAGAAGCTTGCGAAGCAGTGAACGAATCATTTCCGACCCTAAAGGTTATATATATTCCTGATCAGCATATATAGGCGCGTCTTTCTAGCCATGTCCGAAAGAAACTAAAATTTTAACTTTTTTTTTTCATAATTTGATAAGGGGTTACATCATTAAAATTCTCAAAAATTGACCGAAATTTGGATTTTTTAAACCTTAAAATACAGTATGCAGATTTGTTAAACTTTTAAAAACTAGCACAGAACAGCTTTCTGAATTGAATTTGATATATTTTTGGCTTAGTTATGATTAATTTTTAATGTCATGATTCCATGATAATTTATTTAAAACATATTATTAGGTTTTTTATTAAAAAAGCTTTGCAAAATCATCCCAGTCAATTAATTGCTAGATGAAATTAGGACATTAAATAATGTATTAATTAAAAGAATTAATAAATTGCGAACTTTCCTCTATATTTGTTTTAAATTTTAAATTTATTTATAAATATATCCTTTGCCGCTAAAACTTACCTAAACTTTAACACAATAAACATTCTTTTTCACTTTGCTGTGAGTAATTTGCCGTTGTTAGATGATGGCCTGGCCATTAATCATTTTGTTCGTGTTTTCGGACGTGAGCCTGTCATGTTGAACTACTTTTATAATTTTCACGCTGTGTGTTCTCTTGGTCAGTTAATTTTTTATTACTTTACTGGCAGTACTTGCTGGTTTGGTACCCGTGTAATCCATATGGGGATAAAAAAGTTTTATGATTGCTTCTCTCACATGAAGTGAGTTCCGCTTTCATCATGTACTTGAAATTGCTGTTTGTTGGGTTTATTGAGCATAAATTAATGCAAATTTGTGGGTAGTGGGGAAAAAGCAAGGGTTTGGTGACCCATTTTTCCCATTGAATCCCTTTGAAGGCATTGCAATTATCGGAGATCTTTCGCTTGACTGCACAAGTTTGCGGCGGGTTATGAGAGATTTGCATAAGGTACAAAAGACCGAAAAACCTTTGACAATTAGTGTGTGTATTTATAGAGGCTTTTTGTGACCCAGTGCTACCCTTTTGTCGGCAACCCTTATGGGCTCCTAGCTGTTATTCTTGTTGTGTTGTTGTATTTTGTGTAGCCTTCGGCTAAGCTAAATTGAAGTATGCTTGATGTTTATTATGCAACCACAATGTGCTACTTTGTGTTACCTTTTGGCTTTCACGCCTTTGAAATACATTTAATCCATCATTGCACAGACACACATGTAGAATGTGGAATTGGATGGACCTTATAGGGTTAATATGGCTTTTTTAATAGATGAAATAATGTAAATAACATGAATATTACGTATACGCCATGTGAGTCAGGTAAATAAAATTTATTATTTAAAGGATAATACATTTAGAATTAATAACTAAATATTAAAGCAAATGTATACAATTTTATTATTCGAATATAAAAAATCTAATTTTATTTATTTAAATCACATTTGATGTCACTTTCATAACCCCTTATAAATATTTTATGAAAATATAAGCACGCGTTAAAAATCCTGTTAGCCACCCTAATGTAACATGTAACATATATCCATTCAAAGGATACCGGCCTAGCCCTTGGCCATGTCTGACTGTCTACAGCTTTATTGACTCCCCGTTTTCAATTTGCCTGAACATAAGAGCGCCCCGAGAAACCTGTTGAAAAGGTGCAAAATCGCTCATTCATTCGTTAGCTCGTCCTCGTTTACCCTTAGCCCTCGTCCTTAGTCCTGTCCCGCCCTCTTTACCCTCCTTGTTGAGCAAACACGCTTAGGCAGCCTTATCAATCAAAGGTATCTCAGTGTATGTATGTATATACGGACTCGAGAACACACCCATGGAGGATACAGGAGAGATACAGGACACGCCCACACATATGTTATTAATATGGGTGCCATTTATCAAGGGCCGGGAACCCTTGAATCCTTGAATGGCGCGAAGCTCCTCAATGCAATGTGTCTGATCAAGTCAAATTCGGATTAAATTGTGCGCCTCCTGTTTATTTTTATTTTTGCACGATTTTCTCTACCATTTTTTTTTATTTAAGTATTTTATGGTCGTTTGTCGTGCGTGGGGAGGTTCACGAGTGTGGTGAAAGCGATTTAAGTTAAATCGTTTCTCCAGGCGTGTCAGGTGGCTAATGAAATGGGCTGCGATGTATATCACAGGCAATTAATATTGATTGGCAACTCATAAATTTGGCGGGATAATTTATGGCGTGCGGAAATGAAGATAAATCTGTAGGTAAGTAGGTTTCATGGTTATTCTTTTGATTGAGGTTGGTATGTACTTTTGAGTTAATTGGTAAAGGAATTTCTGGGTTTTAATAAGAATTTGAGGAAATAAAAAATATTTATATTTTAATTTTAAATAATTTATTAAATTTTTTAACAAATTTTACAGGCACTTAAAGCTCTAAATATACCCAAATTGATGGCTTAATCCCCTCGGAAAAGAGGGCCACAAATGACCCGAAAAATACATATTTAAATATGTAATCCCATTGATTTTCATCAACCCATAATACTTACCTAACTTTCCCTAATGCGCCATTAGATTAAACCACAAAATTTCCCTCTTTTTTTGAATGTAAAGTAAAGCTCAATATGTCAAAGTTCGCCGGCGATTGACATTAATTAATGGAATGTAAAATGAACAGCGACGGACAGCAGCAGGAAAAGCAGCGTGAGCAGATAGTCGGGCAATTAGGTTGGAAGCTCAAAGGAGAAGGATCTCAGCCGGATACGGATGTGAAGGACACCGAGCCGAGGAGGGAATGGCGATGGCTATCGCGTATAATTTGTGAAAATTGATGATTTGTTTAGATTTACGAATGAGCGAACAAAACGAACCAAATTGGCACGTAGCGAAGGAGGAAAAAGGAAATCCGAACAAAGGTGAAGGAAGCAAGGCAGCAAGGTGTTTCCATGCCGTTTTCCCCCAGTTATTTTCCACCAACGAAGGCCTCAAGGTGTTCGCTAATTGATTCGATATAGATAAATGAACCCAAAGGGCGAGCGAACACCGCTAGATAAATGATTAATGAGTATTTTCCAAGGGTTTTGTGGACACGAGCTTGGCCCTGGCCATTTCCGGGCATTCTATTTCATACTTTCTAATTACTGCCGGTGTCCATGGCAAGGCCTAGGCCCAGGCAACTCGACTCCAATAGCCACTAGAAATTTGAATCCTGCTGTGGCCATAAGCCTTAATTACTTGTTGATTATAAATTATAGCCGGCTTCGAGCGGGAATGGGTGGCCACTCGAGTAGGCAACTGATTAAATAACTCAATTAGAAGGCAGGCAGGGAGCTCATCAACAACTAGTTTGAATGGGAATATATATACACAAATGAGTGTTGATTGGGGGAGGAGTGGGAGGGCGGGTGGCTGAATAATCATTTATTATGGGTCTATGTTGGAATTTAATATTAAATTCTACTTTGTAGAAGAAAAATATTAAACTATAACCTGTAATTATATGAAATGTTAATTAAGCCACAAGGAATTTCAATCTGCTTAAAAAATGGATAAAGAATAAAATGACATGTTTTAAGTTCTAATTTTACGCTAAAATTGTTCTTGTGGATGTTGTAACCTTTGAGGGACTATTTTTTAGGCGATTTTGAGAAATGTTTCCAATTTTCTGTGGCATTTATAATACTGATTCTACTATTCGTTTTAATAAATGAAAATATATCCTAAACCATTTTTATTTTTAATAAAAACCCCCAATAAAAAACCTTTAATCATATTTCGGATAAGATACAATTGGTGCTACCATAAGTGCGCTAAAGATATATTATTTGGATAAACCACGACAAACACATTCTATTTTTGTTAAACAGAATTATCACCTGGTCTGGGTAATTCCCGTATATTTCCCACTCGTCCACAAAATAATCTAAACGAAGTGCCTCGGAACCAATTAAGATCAAATGAATGAGAACCCACGTAAGACGACAACGAATCCGCACACTTCGCCACTCCACGTAAAGAGAGATAAGGTGTCCCCTGATACTTAATTGTTGCTACAAAGATAATGGGCCAGAGAATGGCGAGATTCCGTTTTTTTTTATTAACCATTTTTCATTAATTTCGCGCGATATGGCTGGGGGACTATTTAAAGATGCCTCTGGAGCATTTAGGGTGTTAAATCTAAAATGAAGTGCGTACGATTGCCATTGCTCATGCTCATTGGCCTCCTGGCAGCTCCGGTTGCCTGGGGCCGTGTTCCCTATCCCATGGACGTGCTGCCACCGCCAGTTGTCCAAGAGGACGACATCTTCGAGCAACCCATCTTAGTCGCTCCCCGACCCGTTGGTCGTGCAGGAGGTGAGCATAAACCACCAAGTACTCCTCCAGATCTTTACAAAAATCTTTTGATCCTTTATAGCCTGCAGTGTGACAATTCGCGGAGGTCTTCCCAGTCCCCAGCCCGTGTATCTGAAGACCGATTCTGAGGACATTTATCCCTTCTCGGATGTCGGCGCCATGGAGTTCGAGTCGGGTGGCACCCTTCAGCTGTGGTGCCCTTCGGGCTTCAACACTCACTCGGAGAACCTGCTTACGGCCAGCTGCGTGAGTGGCACTACCTTCAGCGTGGGTGGCTCCCACTTTGAGTTCAAGGATCTGTACTGCAAGTCCTGGCCGGGCTTCAAGGCTGTCAAGACCGGCGGCACCTGCAACGGTGGCATTGTCATCCGCGTTGGCTTCGAGATCACTTCATCGCGCTTCGCCGAACAGATGCAGATTTGCTTCAACGAGGAGGAGGAGGTCACCCGTTACACTCGCCACAAGCTGGAGCCCGGCAGCAACTACTACGAGACTGGAGTGGCTAGGATCACCTTCCAGACCGCCGGCTATTTCGATGGCAAGAATGTGGACAAGCTGTACACCCAGGCCACCCAGTTGGAGACGATCAACAATGAACTTGGCGGTGATGCGGAAAAGTACTTTGACAGTGCCTCCAATGTGTATCTGGCTCGTGGTCATTTGGGCGCCAAGGCTGACTTCGATTATGCTCCCGAGCAGAGGGCCACCTTCCTGTTCATCAACGCCGCTCCCCAGTGGCAGACCTTCAATGCCGGTAACTGGGCTCGCGTTGAGGACGGTCTGAGGGCCTGGGTTTCCAAGAACAAGATCTATGTCAACTGCTACACCGGTGTCTATGGTGTGACCACTCTGCCCAACAAGCAGGGCGTGGAGACTCCCCTGTATTTGGCCAAGGATGGCAACAACAACGGCCTGATTCCCGTGCCCAAGATCTACTTCCGTGTGGTCATTGAGCCCACCAGCCACAAGGGCATTGTCTTTGTTGGTGTCAATAATCCCCATCTCACTGAGGAGCAGATCAAGCGGGATTACATCGTCTGCACGGATGTGAGCGACCAGGTTACCTACATCAACTGGAAGAAGACGGACATCAAGGCCGGTTGGTCGTACGCCTGCGAGGTCGCTGATTTCCTGAAGACCGTCAAGCATTTGCCCGCTCTGACCGCCAAGGGAGGTCTCCTCATCTAAATGGTGATCAAATAAAGTCTAAAACCTTTCAGAATTTTATTTCCAATGAGCAAAACAATGGGTGTTATTATGGGAAACATTATTAAAGGTTTCAGATGATTCGCTGAATTCTTCTTCATAACATCTTCGATCCACTTTAAGTGCATAAAGACGTTGGTGTAAACCGTGGGTAGGATTTCGGATCCGCATCCAATCCTATAGCTCACCACCCCATAGACAGTTTCATTGAGAATCAGGGGACTTCCGGTGTCACCAGCACAAGCATTCTGATCTCCATTCTTGTTTCTGGCACACATCATCTCGTCTATGAAAGTGTTGAGCATTTCTTCGCAGCTTTCTTGAGAAAATAGCTCTACATCAATGCTCATTATTTGGGAGGACATGAAACCATCCTGTAAAAGAAGTGTTAATATTTTAATTTAATTGAAAACTAGGTTTGAGAACTCACCTTCATCATCCGACCCCAGCCCAGAACCGTGTAGTTGAGACCCGGTTTGGGTTCGGCCTTTGGCAAATTTATTACACCCACATTTGGATTGTCTAGAGGCAGACTTTTGGCCAGCTTTATTAAGGCTATGTTGTGGGTGTTTTCAGCCGTAAAACCATCTGGAACAAAGATCCCTTTCACGGTCCTATTCACCGTGTACTTGTTCCTGTAATCCAGACGAATGAAGTTTCCAGCTACGATGACCACAAAACGATTGCGATGCATGATCTTGCGCTGGCTTTAGGGGGAATTTGGGTTAAGTAAGTCTACTTAATAACAGTTTCATTCCTATAGAGAGCTATACCTACTCCATGACGCAGTGGGCGGAGGTCAGGATGAAGGTGAGCGAGACAATGACCCCGCCGCAGTAGTGGTTGTCTCCGTAGTAGCGGCTGGGTGTACGGGACCGAATGGAGACCACATATTTGGCTAGTTCTATGGTTTTCTCGGTGAGTGATGGGCTGGAGAGGCGCTTCACCCGTCGATGGAGATTACAATTTCCAGCATTGGAGGTAGTTAGAAGGAGCAAAAGGAACAGGAGTAACCTGCTGAAGTTTCCAAATAACTTTTTGTTAATTTTTACCATTATAAAGAGTATAAATAATTTGACAGTTTACGCTTTGGGCATATACAAACTTATTACTAAAATTTGGATTTTGATCGTTGCTTGTACATTATTATTGTAAGTACTCTTTTATATTTATTTATTTAATTTATAATTATAATATTCCAAAAAATCATTTACAAATCACATATGAAAGCAAATGGCTTTACCTTACATTATTAGATTAACAAAAAATTTAATACTACGCCACCATAAACTAAAAAGAGTGAAACTTGATAAACATTGCTAACGTTAGTCGATAGTATCCATCGGATCCATTCAATGCTGTGGAACACTTCTGTATAAACGGATGGCAGAATGTTGTCATCGCATTTCACAAGGTAACTCACGATCCCGTAGACAATGTCACCCTGCATCAACGGATCACCACGGTCACCGGGGCACGGAAGTTGGGCTAGGTCGGGGTTTTCATCCGAGCCGCACAGTAAATCCTCTTTTTTTATTCCCAACATTTCTAAACATGTTATTGGGTCTGCGATCATGATGCTGATATGTAGCAGTCTTGCACTAATCGGTCCGTCCTGAAAGCAAAGGCTAGCTGGAGTGAGTACAAAAGATCCCTGAAGTTCGATAAACTTACTTCGTAGAGTCGACCCCAGCCCATGACCTTGCATATGGTACCCGCTTCGACGCGACGATAAGGCAACCTGGCAATGCCGATGTGGTCTGTATCTCTGGGAATCTGATTCTTTAATCGCAAGATTGCTAGATCCTGCTCATTGCGAAGCGTAAAGTTGTCCGGCACGAAAATTTTCTTCACCTCCGAGTGAAAACTGATGCCCGATTGGTATCTGAGCCTATCGGGTGTTCCGGCCACAACGAGTAAAATACGGGCGGGATACAGAACCCTCGAGCTTTTGTTAATAACACAATGTGCGGATGTCAAAACGAACTGTGGCGCAATGATGACGCCTCCACAAAAGTGATTTTCTCCGTAGAAATAGTGGACGGTTCTGGTCCTTATAGACACTATGTATTTGCCCAGGTGGAGGGTATCTTCGTTCAACAGGGGATTGGACAGGCGTCGGGTTCGATTGAGGGTTAAACCCGATTCATTAGCTGCGCAGGCGACTAACAAAAGAGCCAGCAAACTTAAGATATTTAAAATCGTCATGACAAAATATATATTTTCTGATTTGACTTGAAGCAAACGAGCAGGTGTTTAATTTCAGGTATGTATTTATTTTTATTCTGAAAAGATACTCAAACCAGTAGCCCACTGACCGAAAACTGGGGCAGATGATCGACCTTCTTTCGGAACTCGGGCACCTCGCAAGCGTACGAGTAGCCGGCGGTTATGTCGGTCTTCTTCCAGCTAATCCAGTTGATCTTGTCGCTGACATCCGTGCAGAGGATGTAGTCGCGCTTGATCTCCTCCAGACTCAGATGCGGGTTGTTTACGCCAATCAAAACGATGCCCTTCTTGGTCGATGGCTCGATGACCACACGGAAGTAGAGCTTGGGCACAGGGATCAGGCCATTGCCGTTGTTGTCATGAGACAGATACAACGCCCTCTGTTCTCCATTCTTGTTGGGCAGCGTTGTCACGCCCCAGACTCCCGTCCAGCACTCCACAGACTTCTTCTCCTTGGCCACCCAGGCACGGACACCATCCTCAACGCGAGCCCAGTTTCCAGCATTGAAGGTCTGCCACTGGGGAGCGGCGTTGATGAACAGGAAAGTGGCCCTCTGCTCCGGGGCAAACACAAAGTCAGCCTTGGCACCCATATGACCGCGGGCCAGGAAGACGTTCTTCGCCGAGTCAAAATAGCGAGCAGAGTCCATGTCCAGCTCCTTGTCGATTGTCTCCTTCTGGACGGCCTGCGTGTACAGCTTGTCCACGTTCTTGCCCGCAAAGTAGCCGCCGGCGCCGAACGTAATCCTGTCCACTCCGGTGGCATAGTAGTTGTTACCAGGCACCAAACGATGGTACACGTAGCGGGTCACCTCCTCGTCCTCGTTGAAGCACACATCGTACTGCTTGGCAAAGCGGGAGCCGGAGAGCTCGAAGCCCACGTTGATCAGAGTGGTGCCACCGTTGCAGCTGGAACCGGACTTCTTGCCCACAAATGCTGGCCAGGATGTGCACTTAATGGCGGACAGATCGTGCTCCTTGTTATCAATCTTGAAGGTGGTGCCGCCCACACACTTGGCAGTCACCGATTTGCCGGACAGGGGCGAGGCCAGGCTGCTGGTGCAGTGGAATTCAATGTCCTTGTCCTTGTCCACATCGACATAGCCGGTGTCGGAGAAGCCAACGATCTCGGAAGTTCCTGTCTTGATCAGCAGGGGCTGGGGATCCTTCAGCTCAGAGCTACGGATCTTGATCGAGCAGCCAGCTAAGAATGAGGGAATCTCGTTAGGAGATCCTTGACTTACACCTGGACAAGTACTCACCAGCTCTGGGCTCAATCACATTAACCTCTTCTGGCACTTCGGGCAACTCCCAGAGGAGAGGATCCTCCTCCTGCGGCAGAATCCTGGCCTGGACACTGGCCAAGATCAGGCCGCTCAAGGCAATCAACACAAGACCCTTCATGTTTTGCAACTGCTTGGCCCAACGGGAGGGCCGGTGCTTTTAAACCCCCCAAAAACCCATCCGATTTCTGATTAGATTCCCCTGATTGCGGCCATGTTAGCGGTGGTCGGGGTATCGGCACTTGTTGATGCTTTGATTGCTTCACGTATGTCCCCTCTCAGTTTGGGCTGCTCCGTTCCCAGCATTATCATTTAATTAGTTTTTGGCCAGCCGTGATTAGGCTCTGCTCCCGCGTTGTGGAGTGGAGCGCCAAATTAAATACTCGGGATCCGGATGGAGCTCTTCTTCCTCCTTCACGTGCCCGGCACGTTTTGTTATCTTTGAAAGAATCTCTGTGGTTTTTTATCTCACAAATATCAATTCTTTATTATTATTGGTTTTATGTTTAAGGTATACATCGAACTCACATTTATTGGTTAGTTTTTAACTGGCTGGTTTTAGGGTGTCTTTTGTTTTTGGCGCAACTGTACTTAAGATTACCTACTATATGTACATATACAACATTTATAGATATGGTTATTGTTTTTATTCTTTGTTTATTTCATTTATATTTACGTCACCGATATCAACTTGAGTTGGCTGGAAGTATTTACAAAGAAATTTCCTAAGCACTTAATAAACATTTTAAACGTTTATTGGTAAGCATGATTTTGTGTAATTCTTATTTTTTATTGTTGCTATTACATTTTTTCGGTTAGACAAGCCATTTATTTCGTTTTATTTCCTTTACTATTTTTAAAGCTTATTTTTTTGGTTTTGGAACACAAAATTCTTGCTTCTAAACTCTTTGAGAGCTACTCCTTTATTGATTTCGTAAAGTTTTGGAAAGAAAAGGTTGCTATTTATATGGGTTTTACATTTAGATGTATTTCTATTATTGTTCTTATTGGTAATTAAAGATTTATTTTAATTAGTTGGCGGATGTTGTACATTTCACAGAAATCTCTAGAAACTAAAGTGGAAAAGAATGGATTTTTAGGTACAACATTTTATAAATTTCCCTTTTGTTAAAAGCATAGTTAAGTTGTTCAAGTTGCGATTGCTTAAAGTTATATGAAGAAGTAGTTAAAGCCTTAAAGAATCTATTTCTTGTGTTTTTTTTTGCTGTATAATTTGCATCTTGTTAAATAATACTTCCCGGTTTTTGTATGTACATTTAAAGCTGTAAACTTTGCTGGCATTTGTTAAGTTTCTTTACGGAATTTTTAGTGTCTAAAAAATACATTCGCTTGACCTTGGAAGAACCCCAGTTTCGTCTCGAAAATCTACAGGAATATGGCGATCTGTGCGTATATCTCCACGGCCACAAGGAGCCCCATTATGGACAGATTCACAGCGCAGTAGACGCGTCGCAGTGGACGTCGGCGTTGACGCTGACCACAACACTTCGTCCACTTTGGTTCCAGATGCTGGCTCTCATCAGGATCGCCGTCGTCGTCGTTGGTGTCGCCGTCGCTTCCGTTTCCGGTGGCATGGCCGCCGCAGTTGCAGTGGCTGCCACCACCACCGCCACTGGACTTATCACTTTTTTCGGCAGCCGCAATGGCTGCATTTCCATTTCCGGCTCCCGATTTGCATGGCGGCCAATGTCAAACCGACGCTAGCGACGAACTGCTGTCATAGGCCACCAAAAGCGAGTCGTTTTCATCGCTGCCACTCCCCGCACTTCGCTCCGACTCGTTGATGACCTCCAGTTGGGTTTGGGGCCTCGCGATTTTGTATTTATTGTGGCGCTTATTGATCAGCACGCTCCGGATGTTGTTATTATGACGACTACTGCGGCTACGCTGGCCCTTGACTTTGACCAACGCCGATCGGGGCTTTGGTCGGGACCTCGAGGTCTTCGGCGCACCCAACATGCTGCAGTCCGCATCATCCTGCTGCGCTCCCAACTGCTGCTGCTCCGTTAGCTCATCATCATCGTAGTAGTCATAGTAGTCATCGTAATCGTAGCCCACTTCGTCCTCTGTGTCCATGCCATCGCCAAAGGCAGCCTCATCGTCATCATCATCATCGTTATCGTCATCGTACTCAAAGTCAAAGTCGAAGATGGCGCAGCATCCGCCGGAAGTGGAATCAATGCTATGGCGACGCCTTGACCTCTTGCTGTAGGTGTATGTGTGCGGCTTGTGGGCACTAACACTCTTGTACATGGGTGCAAAAATGGCCGTTTTGGCCTGCAAGTGGATAACAGGAGACGAAGGGGAAAAGATAATTAATTAATACATTTTATTGATATGCCTAAAACCCATATTAATTAGGGGGAATTAAGTAATTATGTGGAAAATATGTTATCACTTCTTTGGGTGGAAAAAACTAAAGAGAATTGGGTCTTGGGAATTTAATTTTAATGTTATATAAAGCCTATTATTTATAATTATTACTTTTATTATAATTTGTGATCTTTGATATTTAAAACATAAAATAAACAAATTCTAGAGATTTTTCGGAATATTTTCCGTGATAGAATATACTAAAATAATTTGAAAATATATAATTTTAATTATTTAAACTTGATTTTTCATTTGTTTAGTGTTTTTAATCATAAATAATTATTTTAGATTGTTAAAATAAATTTTTAGAAATTTTTAAATATTTATAACCCATATTTAAGTCTTCTTGCTCTAAAAATAAATCTAATAATACTATCCATACATTTTAGTTTTTATTTGTAAAGTTTTCTATGCAATTCTTAGCCCGTATCAAACTAAAATAAATCATATTTCCCATTAGCAGCACTCCCCATTCGGCCATAAGGTGATGATTAATTGACTTACCTCTGGGCCGCGCCATGTAATGCCCGAACGAACCAAATTGTAGAAGCGGAGGACTCCCCACATAGCTAGCACCTGTTCGAGTACGGGAGAAAAAAAATTGGAGAATCATAAATTTCCATTAGATAAAATTCTCTAGATACACACACACCCATATATATATTCGAACACATTCGCATTTCTTTTCTGCAGAAACACGAGCTAACATTTTTATGCTGCGTAAAGGGACTAATGGACTTAGCTAGTAATTAAATTATTTATTACATATATCGATTAGGCCATGGGCGGGATGGGATGGGATGTTCGCAAAAACCAATTAGCCTCGATTGAGGATAAAAGATGAACACATAGCACATAGCTTCTTGGCCCAGCTTCTATAATCAAATTGTGACAAATAGGTTTAGATATTATTTCCAAAATTGAGAACGTATATGTATTTTGTATTCACGAAGCTATTTCCTGTCATGTTCAAACTGATACCTATTGAGAGACGTCTGTGTGAGCTGGGAAATTCCTACGATTTTATAGCAGATGCTTGCAGAACTAAAACTGAAGATTGTACTTTTCTGGGCTTTAGACTTTCGGGACCATGGAATAACCTTTGGTGTGGTTTTGGCAATAACCTTGCTTACTTATTGTTCGTTCTGATATTGGTACTTGTATTGGTGAGTCATTAAAAATGAGGAATGCTAGTTAAACTAATTTCTTGGATTTCTCCTAGCTATACCAAATATATAACTTAATGGATGTATACTTCTCGAAGGACTTAAATCCACCTACCCGGTGGAGAGGCAATAATGGATTCAGCGTTGTGCCACCACCTTGGGTCAGAAGGTTGGGTTTGGTGCAAGGTTTCGTAAATATTAATGTCTGTGGTCTTTTGTTGTATGCTGCAATCTATGTAAGTTATTTTATAATTATCAAATTATTATAATGATTTTCTAGGAAACAACGATTTGAAATATCTTTAAAATGTATTTAAATATATATAAAAAATAATCTAAGATTTTTAAAACCATTAAAAAAATGTCCTAAATTGTGCTACCTGTAAAAAAGGAAATCGTAACTTTTTAAATACATTTTTAAGGGGCTTAAAACCCCTATATTTTATATATATTTTTAAAACTATCTCTCTTTTTATAGGAATCACCAGCTCTCATGTATCCCTGGCTTTTGGTCCGAGTCTCTGAACTGATATTTAATGTGGTCGCTGCCACTTTTAACTACATTATTGGATTACTACTAGTTAGGACCATATTCAGTCTGATCCTTCATGTACTCTGCACCGGGATCGTTTACAAGACCATGTGGGCATTATGTGCAGCTCGGAAAAAGTATAAAGGCAAAGAACTATTTGAAGAAGCCACATTTTAATAACAATAAATAATATTCTATGTACTATTTAATGATTTTAATATGCTCAACAAACTATCTTAAAACCACTCAAAATGGATGCACATTTAAAATTTTTTTTAATCTAATTATTTAATTTTTACTGCAATTTCTATCCCATAATATAAATATATATTTTTAAACTTACATTAATCAAAGCTCTTGCTATAAAGAAAGCCACCTCTGCCTTGCACATGGCATCGAATTGCTGAAAATAAACAAATTAAAAATGCATAGTTTTTGTTATTATTTAAATATAAATTATCCTTGAATTATTTTCACGAGTAGTTGGCCAGCGAAGCCAAAACAAACAACAACTGATAAAGTTGGTAAATTGTTAGCTTAGCCTTCTGTTTTGGAAAGCAATTTGCCAGGGTGGAGGGAAAGTTTTTTAGCATGAAAATTTAAAAAGTTTGACTTAGAAGCGAACCAGATTGAATTATTTCAGGCGGCTTACCCAGGGTCATGAGTTAAATTAGATTTAAACCACTTTGAGCTATTTTTAATTGCTAGAAAATTAACTTGTCTTTAAAAAACAATTATCAAATAGTTTTTTAAAATAAAAATTAATTCAAGCAAACATTTTGTATTCAACTCAAGCGATTTGGAAGCATTGCCAAAAATTTCAAAACAACAAATTAGTAAAAATCTCCATACCCCAACTTGTGACAGCGCAAAAGTTTCTGAAGCCCCAAAAAAAAGAGAAAAATGAATTTTTTACCTTCTGAATTGCAATAAATTATGCATGAGGTGACAATTTTCCGGGAGCAAAAAAAAAGTCTTTCGTTGGTTTATTCGTCGTTTCATGTCCCCCGGCTAAGGGCGGAAAAACAAACGGAACAAAACAAAGCTTGGAAAAGCAGAAACACGTTCGTAATAGAAAAGGCAAAGCAACGACATAGACAAATGTAAAATTCTAGGGGAAAATGGTGCAGAAAAATGCCCAACTCATTGCATATGTGCAGACGAACTAGAAGTAGATCCCCATATCCCATATCCCCGCCTAAATGTAGATATGTTTTGTGTGTGTGTGTCTGGTCTTTGAGTTTTCCGATTCAGCCCGCTTTTCCGCTCTTTTGCTCCCCCCTGGGCCGCCGCCCATTGTGCCGCTTTGACTTTGTCGCTTGTTTTTGAGTGCGTGTGTGCAGTGGGCCCTTGTCTGGTCCTGGCTGTCTGTGTGTCCTGTGAGCCCCTCACTGTTTATATCCTTCGTTTTCTATTTCTTTTTTTTTTGTAGCCTGGGCATTCTGCGCTTCATTTGTTTGAAGAAGGCACTTTGGTTGCGGCAGAATTGGGCTAAAAAAGGAGTTAGTGAATTAAGAGCAAAGCTCGAGAGGTCTTAAAGGTAAAAAAGTTAGTGGGGTTTTCTTGGTTTATTAATTTATAAGGGTGGCTATTACAAAATTATAAAGATAAAGTTGGTTAAATATGCACATAGACTTTTTAATTAGATGAGAATAGAGGGAAAATATATTTAGAAAATATATATATATTTTCTTTTCATCTAATAATCTATAAATATATTTTTTAATATTTTTATTAAATCCCTTTTTAATACCCTAAACTCCTAAAGTTCCCACATGTTTTCTATCCAACTTTTAATCAACGCTTTTTCTTTTGATTTTTCCTAAATTGAACATCTGTGGTCCGTTGTGTAATCATTTCCCCTCTCCACATCCCCAGACCATGTCCTATTCTTTCTTCTTACCCCCCATTGGTCCCCCCCTTTAATTCCCAGCCTGTTGCACGTCGGTTTGTGTTTACATTCACTTGGCAACTCCATTCATTGTTCCCGCCGGCAGGGATGGCAATGCATCCAACTGTCGCCAACTTCCGACCATGGCAAACGCACACAACCTACTACTTTTGTTTGATTTTAGCATAAAGGGGGAGAGGGAGGTGAAAGCAACTTTTTACATATGTAACGGATTCAGTTTGATTTGTTGTCGTTGAAGGTTTTTCTTTTTCTCTTGTAATTTATTTGTTTGTCGTTGTTGGCGATGCCCATTGATTTATGCCGAGCGGCGGCACAGTTGATATTCCACAAGGACCCCCTCCGCCAGAATCCTTTGTGTGTGAGATGTTTTTTCATTAAACAAATGGTTCGAAGTGAAACAATCTTAAATATGCATTAAAAACACTTTTCCCGACACCATGGGGACTCCATAGAACCTTTGGGATGGCACATAATACTCACCTTATTAACATGATCGCGAAGGACATTGGAATAGACCATGGCGACAGCTTCCAGGGCCATAAATGTTATATAGCCAATTATCCAGGGTACAATTAAACCGGGGTTCTCCTGTGGAAATGCAAAAACAAAAGCCATCGGTTAGAATATCAAGCGAAAAAGGGCCGCGAAACCCGAATTGAAGCTATTGATTTCATGGTCGTACTATAAAATATGGTAGGTGTGTGGACAGGTGCAGGAGGTGTAAGGAGGTGTGAGCTGTGCGGTGTAATTTATCTCGCCATAGTGGTAAAACCTCTGATTGGATTTTTTGCTGAGAGAAACTGTGCGTTGAGCGCACGTTGGGAATTCCTGATGTGCAGCTGACAGTTTTTCGGCCGCAGCATTTTGCATGGCAATTTCCCGTGGAGGCCATGGAAAATGTATTTTCCACCGCGGATTACATTCTTATTTGGGTTATGATGCTTGTCTAAATTATGAAAATTTATATAATCGCATAATAAACATTTTATTTCGGGAAAATAAATATCAGCTAGCTGATTTGGCTTTATTTTGCAGAGGAGGTTGTTGAATACAAACAATTATAAACATTTTGTATCAGCTAATTTTAATGTTACTTCATTTTCTTTAATTAAATACCACTAAAAACAATGTTCTTTTATTAATAACAGACCATAATAGGCGGCAAACTAATGTGTATACTTATAAATAAAACAATGAAACGTGTTTATCTGTTATTTAAGCCATCAGTCTCAATTGCTCCCTCAAACTTTGGCTTGTTTTCCCACACAGACACACATTTGTTGTCTAAATACTCGTTTAGCCTAATTAAGAACCAATGCTCTATGCATTATTTAATGGACATCAGCTGCCGGCGCTCTCAGCTCGAAGAATAGCCAAGTTAAGGATGGGGGCCGATGCCTATTAGCGCAAACTGCAATTAATTTGACCAATACACGGAGACTTGGAAATATTTCCATTTACACAGAGTACGGGGGGAGTATGAGGCAAAATTCTGTAGCTTTCATTCGCAGGGAAATCGCGTTTCAGTTTGTGGAAATTAAAAAATTCCACAAAATGTAGCTGGAACCTCTGGCACAATTGCTCAGCAACATAAACCCGAATTGTATTTGGGCTTTGTAATCCTCGGCATGTGTCCTGCCAGCTCTCTCTCACTCTCATCTCAGTTTTCAGTTTAGTCAGTTTAGTCCGCCATGGGGTCCTTGCTTTCGCTTTGGGGTTCCCAATTGTGTGACAAATTGTCTACATTTTTATGCCGCTGTCAATATGGGGTTTTTTTTTTGGAGGGGCTTAGAGGGGTTTCAGGACACGCTGTCGCGGACTTTTTTCATATGTTGCAGATATTGTAGAATAATATACAAACAGAAGGGTTGGTAACTTTGGCAAGTCGGTGTTTTTATACTCTTCTAAGGTGGTAAATTCTAATATAACAAATATAAAAATATTTGAAAAATTAGGGAAAAACAAATTAACAATGAATTCAATTCCCTAAAAATTTTTACTAAAGAAAGAGATCTTGTTAACTTTATAAAAACTGTATTATATAAATAAATAGTACAAATATATATTTAATTTTTAAGATTTATACAAAAAAAGTATATTTTAATCTACAAAAATTCAAAATAAATATATTCAACTTCCTTTCATGTTTTCTTAGTACAAAATCCGTTTAACCTGCCATGGTTTCCCTATTTTTTCCTAAAAACAACATTCCATAGTGAATATTTTGTATCTCCACGTGTCAAATTTCGCACTCAAAACAGAAAAAAAGGAAATTTGTATGTACTATATTTGAAATTTTCAGAAGGCAACCATGCGGTATGAGCGCTTTGCGTAATTTACATTTGAATGTGCTTTGTTTGGCTTTCTCCGTAAACATTTCCGGGGCTCAGAGGCGCAGGCACAATGCGCATAATTTGCGGATATTTGACTTTGAGTTGTTCGATTCCGGGAATGTGAGTGTCTGTGTGTGTGGGGGGTTTTAGGAGGGAGAATATAGCTACGCTTAATATTGCTAAATGCGTAGAGTCTTTAGTCAAACAAGAAAACTCACCCGACATATTCCAAATATTAACACAATGCTCAGCAATATCATGGACATTTGTGTGCCAATAATGGCAAAATAGGCTATTTGTACACCTGCAATATTTAAAGAGAAGATGAGATTAAAATTTAACAATAATTAAAGAAAGATATTAACATTAAGCAGCTATATCTCTATATGAATTTAAATTGAATTTGATTTAATTAAAAGAGCTAGCTTAAGCCAGCTGCTTTATTTATAGAAAATCAAGACTTAAACTCAAATAAATTACTCGCCACTTAATATTAAAATTTATTATATAAGCCAACTATTAACAATTTAATTCTGTATTAAAATAATGCCACTTTGTGTTCAAGTTTGATCTCATTAATTAAATATATAAAGTGTTAAGCTTCCGTTGGACTCAAAACTCTGGCAAACAGAGCTCATTCCTCTGTGGGTGGCTCCATCCTCATATACATTTAATTTATTTATTAAAATGGCTTTATTTATTATGTGGCTGCTTGTCGTTTCGGTTTTCCTGTGTTTCGGTTTTATTACCGTTTTGGGCTTTAGCTTATAAACGCCCGATGTGTGTGAGTGAGTTTAATTAGCAGCCAAAATTGGCCTGAACTTTGAACTTACCGTAGTAGACATCCTGCAGGTCGGCCGACTTGTGCATATTGACATTGATGCGCCAGGAGTATATCAGGACGATTAAAAGCGATATATTCTACGAGTGAAATGGGATTAAAAAGGAAGATAAAATCAGCCACCAGAGAGAAAGAGAGATATGGGAAATGTACATAACACGCATACGCAGTGTGCACCCGTATATAAATTCGTTGAGGGGTCATCATCCACATCCACTTCCTCCCTCATGTTTCCCCAGCGCCATTTCCTTCTCTTTTATGACCAACTCTTTACCCTTTCCATCTCCCTCTTCTTTTTTTTGCACAACACGTTTTTACTTTTAAACGGGTCTGAACTCAATTTGATTTTAGGGTCTGAGGTGTTGGCTGGGGGTTCTTCTTGCTAATTAATCCGTGAAAATGTTTTCGTGTCGGTTGTCGTTTCGCTGCTTTGCGGAAATGGGTATTAAGCTCGGGAAATGCGTTTTCCATTTAATGACTCATTTAAGGAATACAGAAATTCTTCATTTAGTTTAAAGAATTTTTTTAAATCTGAGAACACACTCTAAAATATTGTTAATAAATCTTAGCTTATTTTTTTACTAAGCTCAATGCTTTCCACCATAACTTTCCCTTAGCTAAGCTTATAAAAGACTGAAAAACCAATTTCCAGTAGAGCATTTCCCTCAGGTACTTAGCAAATAAGCAACAAGGACGATAAATAAATGCAAAATGGCGTGCTTTTAAGATACATCCATTATGTGTCGTGACTGCACTCCCAGGTGTAACTTCCCCTAGCCTCATGAACCCCTACCCTAGCCCCATGTTAGCCAGGTCAGGTCAGACTTATGCTAAACACGTAAGCTTTACCTGGCTGAGAAAGGTGGGAAATCTCTCTCCCTCCCCACCTTCTTATGCTCGCAGCTGCCATAAAATGTGGCACTAATTGCAGAAGCCAAACACTTGAGTTCTCGTCCTTAAACAAAAACTAATTTACTTGCCACAAGTTGGTAAGGGACATAATGTGTCTATTGTTTTCCCCGCCAAGTTGCATTGCGTTATATACTTCTTGTACTCGTAATTGTCCTCAGCCCCTGCATTGTCCTCACAAGTAGTGTTCAAAATTTTACAAGAAAAAAAAACCGGAGCACGATTTTGCCATTAACATAAATTAAAAGCCATAACGAGCATCATGTAATTGCAATTTATACATGCCACAAGTCGAGAGATGAGAGGAACGAGTGCAAGTCGTTCTCGGTTTGTCTATCCATTTGGCAAGGCTCCGAGGGGCTGGCGAAATTGTAGAGTTCGCTCAGAGGGTTGTTTGAGAAGTTAATCAGAGAAAATATAATTAGGATTATTATTTAGTGACTTGATTTATTTATATGATTTTTTAAAAATATTTTTAATACATCCTTCTGCTTTAGCTCTTGCTATTCTGTTTCCCTTCTTAGTCCTTGGCCTCCATCCAGACTTTTATTGCATCATCATACGAGCTTTTGCAGCTTGTGAAGTCGATGGCAAGTACATATCCCAGTCGTCAGGTAAAGATTTCACTGGCTCCTTTATCACAGGAGGTTCTACTTTAACCTCTGAACGGGCAGGCTCCAACATTTCCCAGTTGTCAGGTAAAGATTTCACTGGCACCTTCACCACAGGAGGCTCTACTTTACACTCTGAACGTGTAGGTTCCACCTGAGTCTCCTTTCGTTCTTCCCCCTTTTCATCTAGACCCAAAACATCAAAGATTTCCTCAAAGGAAACTGGACCCTCCACGATACCAATGTTTTCTGGAACATCTATGTCCTGGAGACGCATACAAATCGCCTTGATAGTCCGCGATCGTTCCTCTTCTTCTGATGTAATCTTTTTAGCATCCACCTTGCTGGTCTGCCGCGCATTTCGTGTAAACCAAATGGTCTCCGCCTTCTTGCCAGGCTCCCTTGAAAACCCATTAGGATTTAATCCTTTGAAGGGCAGCGCCTGGCTAAAAGATCTCAACCCCAGCAGGCCCGTTGATCCACTTTGAGATGGTGTGTTTTTTGGAACCTTTGCTGAATTGCTCTTCAGCTTCTTCAGTGGATTGGCTGAGGATCCCTGCCCATTTTTAGAGCTATCGCTGTTGACCCGAGAAACTGTGCGTTTTCGCACAGTCGATTGCTCTTTTTTCTCGGTTTTCTACAAGAATGGAAGGCTATCATTGAGTACTTTGATTGCTTTGCTTGTCTTTGTTTCCTTGCGCTTACCATTGCTGTTTAGGTTATTGATTTTCTATATTATATTTTGCGTTTTTTAAGGAAAAATCTCTTTACTTTTTACTTCACAAAAATGAACTGTCAGAATATTAATTAAACTGGTTTGCTTCATATTACAAAAATAAATCATAGGGTAGCCAAAATGCCAAGAAAAGTTTTCTTACTAATACAAAGGAGAGTTGTCAAGCGTTTTCATATTTTTAAAAAATTATTTAAAATGTCCTGTCATCTTTTAATAAAATATTTAAGTTAATTAAATTAATAATTCGAAACCAAAGCCGCCAAATTGTGTTTAAGATGGCCTGCAATTCATCGGGAAAACCTTTATATATAAATCTTTATAATTTAAAATAAAATATTAAGCTATTGGCTTTCAACAATTTTGATATATGTATTTAGTTCTAAATAAATATATTTTTATTTATTTCTTTAAAAGGCTTTTTTCTACCCCTGCAAGTATAAAACCCATAATTCAATTCACCAGTCACTCATCATCCGTTTCCCAAAACTCCCTGAACTCACCCCGGGCTGAAAAGAAGGGGAATTTTTGCGGTTTCCCTCTCCCTCTCCCCCTTCTCCGCATCCTTCATTACAATAATGAGGTTGAGAAGTATGCCATGGCCCATTCAGACCAGACTGCAGAAAAACTCTCGCCAAACGACACTTGTCTATTAATTATGCCACAATTAACAGGCGAATATAATACCCCGGCACAACTACTGATTTCGTGCTGATGTTTTTATTCGTGGCTTTCTTGTTCTTTTACCAATTTTTGTTGTTATTGTGGAGTGGCCCGTGTTTCGTACTAACGAGAACAAAATTATATACTTGTCCACATTGCGTATACGCCCCATTGCGACCGCCGCTTATACCCGAAAACACTTACAATTGTGTAAATTGCACTTGTTATGGCCAAATTTTTGGCATGCAACATGCGACAGCAACGTGTGCCGCCGGTCAGCGGTCCATATGGATATAGGATGACAGACTTCATTTTATGTTCCCAATTTTACAATATTTTCTTTCTTTTTTTTTCGGCTGGTTTTTCCGCTCAGCAATGGCACGACAACTTTTTGAGTCTCGTTTTCATTACGTTGACAACATGGTGGCGATCATGATGATGTCGAGGCTGCTGCTGCTGTTGTTGCTGCTTCCCCCGGAGGCTTCCATTAAAAAATAGTCCGCCTGAAAAAATAGCCAGATAAATTGAAAATTTTAAAAGTCATTCGCATAAATTGAGTGGGCAATGCTTTCGTATGCAGCAAAGCATTTATTTATTCTCCGCTTTCCCCCGAAAAATGCAATCAATCGTTAAATATTGAGCACTTATTTTTTATATTATTTTATTTCATGCATTTTATGTGTGACAATTTGCTCAACTTGAATGGCTGTGGCAGTGTAAATATCTCATGATTGCATGCAAAAGGACTTTGTGTTCGTTTCAGAGCAAAAAAAAAGAGGTTGAATGTGGCAGGCAAAAAGCGTTAAGCTGGGCAAGTTTGTATTTAAGGGAAAAATATAGTTTTGTGGGAAGAAAATTCAATTTTAAAGATACAAAGTATGCAGGAAAATATTAAATTTTAAAGATGCAAACTCCATTCGTGGGCCTCACATAATACAAAACTATCGATCAAGCTTAGGAATAAAATTTAAGGCCCCCAAGACATTCTTTGTCATACAGACTGTAGACTCTATATACTTGCAGCATAACCACTTTAAAGCAATCTTCTCAATCATCAGTCTATTGATTTTTATGCATTTTTCTTCTCTCAATAGCAACGTACAATAGCACTTAAGTTGCCGCCGCTCAATGTGGCAAAGTTTTCAGCATTTCCAACAAATGTTTTTCGTGTTTGCCATCACTTGCGAGTGATTCGCCATCACTTGTCCGATGAAACTGACAGGCCAAACACGAGAAACTCAAGCCATTCTCCTTCAGCTTTTTGGGTAATTAATGATGGAAAAAGGAAGACACGCAAGGGCTGCCACGAAATTGTCAGTTCTTGGACAAATATCACTTGATGGCCTGTCCGAAATCTCACTTAATCAACGCCAAAACAAATCTCTAAGATGTTTTCAATTAGTTGCTGCTTAACTAATTACACGGGAGACGCCAAAATAAAAAAAGGGAAACGAGCAACTATGATTGATAGTTTGCTGCAAGGTCCTTTCAAGCCCCTTTTAATTGACCTCAAAAAACTGAGAGAAATTTTCACTTTTGCTCCCGCATTTCACTTCGTGTAAACACACATTCCGAAAGCGGGGAAAAGGACTTGCAAGGACACAGCGCCATAGAAACATGTAATGCTCTGCTGGGCATATTGAATGGATAACTCACACACACACACACACACAGCCAGCAGCAGTCTACCAACTAGAACTCATTCCACAGAAACTGAGTGCGTATTGTAAAATGTTTACAGTGTCATAAAATATCAGTAACAAATGCGAAACCAGTGGCACACACAGGGGTCACGCATAAAAGTCGAAAAAAGCTAAGAAAACAGGCCAACAGAAATTGTTGGCTAAACCAAACAATACGATAACAATGCAGGCAGAAATGCGTTTTCTTTCTTGCAGACCCTTGAAGGCATTTTAAGGAATAATGGAAAGATCTTGGTTTTGTCTGTCATTTGAATACAAAAGTAAAGTAATTCTAAAATAAATACGTATAACATTTTAAAAATTTCTAAAACATTTCCAAGTAATAAATTTCAGATTTTTTTCTGATCTAATTTCTTTTTGGATAATATTATAATTTTTTTTGTTATGATTTTCACAATCTTACAACATTTTCCGTCTAAAATTCTCTGCAAAAAATATATCTAAATTTGTTAAGCCCCTAATAAAAAAGCCCTTATCTTGGCTTCCTGGCTTTATGGCCTGGTCCAGTTATTACTTTTTTGTAAGCCACTTGTTAATGACACTGGAAGCAGGGGCCTTGCAATTTAAAAGCTTTTTGCATTTTGCATTTGAAAGGCATTGGCTTGGAGTCAAGTGGGCACGCATATTGCCAACATCAAGTGCCTTTTTCATATCAGCAGCGCAGGGAAACCCCCGCGAAAACCTGCCTCATCGCCCAGGGGAGACACACACAATGAAAATCAATAAAAAATATCGCATTACTTTGCCAGGCTTTGTTTCGGTAGAATTTTTGTTTTTATTTTCCTTTATTATTATTATTATTTTTTTTTTTTTTCTTTGTTTGCCCGTATTGTTTGTGTCGATTTTGGCGTATGATTGATTTCAGGACACACGCAACGCCACGTCCTTCTAGGCACAAAAATTGTTGCATAACTACACGGAACACAACCAGTAAAAAAATGAAAACAACAAAAAATATACACACACTCGCGTTGCAGTGTGCGACAGCAGCTGTGACAGCGTTGAAGGATTTTTTGTGGTGGGTAGGAGAGGCGCTCTACAGAATGCTAGTCAACAAATTCGATTCAATAAGCGTCTCACATCATATTTACTTTTTTTTTTTTCGAAAAAAACGAGTAGTCTCGTTTTTGGCATTTTAGGGGAAATGGAAGGAGGAGGAGGATGAGGTATAAGCCTCTCAGGCGAAGCCTATATGCATAGAAATGACTCGACTTTGCCGCTTGTTGTTGGCTTCCCTTTAAGCGCATTACAATCTCCATATGTGTGGGAGATGGTTCGATTTCGATGGGTTTTATAGGGGTTTTGGGTTTTTTTTGGGGTCGGTTTTTGTGGGGTTTGAGCTGGCATAGATCTATTGCATTGGGTCCATATGCTGTTCATAAAATTCCCATAAATTAGGAATAATTGAGAGATTGTGTCCGACACACGAAATTGCTTTTGCATTTTTGACATTTTAGTCTGTCGTTCATTGTGTGTGGTGTTTAATATGTGTTGTGTTGGTTTCATTTGGAATTTAATTGCTATTTGATTGAAGGGATTGACTATTATGTGATTTCGTCAGTAGCCTGTCATAAAGGAAAAATTCTAGTTTGGATTGTTATTTATTTTAGGGAAATATTTTAGTGATTATTATAAAGGGATTTATAACGAACTTTTATTACAAACAAAGTATATTAAATAGAACATAAGTTGGGTAAATGTTTGAATACCTTTCTATTTAATAGTATTAAAAATATTATTAATAAATATTGGTAGGACTTGGAACAGAAAATATCTTTACCTCTTTGAATGCCTGGCCTAGAATGAATCTTTTTAAACTTTACCTATATAAAGCTTATGAAATAATACATAAACTCACGTTTTTATTATTATTTTATTTGATATATATACTTTTACTTATTTATATAACATTTTACCGACCCAACTTGACCTTTAAACCTCTCCAAAATATGGTGCAAACCCAGCCAAACTCTTTTCGAAATTACCCCCTTTGACTCGCCCCAGACTCACGCCAGACTCCCTTCCATTCCCTTCAGATTCTTTGTCGTAAATCTCTGGCCATATATTTCCGGGTGTGTCATATTCGGGAATGGATGAAAGCCTAAGGCCCATTGACATCGGGATGCCACAGTTAATTGCACATTGGGCCTGGGTTATGTTCAGATAATCGTCACATAAAGATGTTTCATTGTTGTTTGGGGCTGGGCAACAACAGCAAATACGTGTGGACAATAACCGGAGGGGCTAACTTCTAATAGGATCCCCTACCAAGCTCACAAAATATAGACAGGGGTTGGGGTATAATATTTGCTTAACAAACATTAAAGTTGTTCTTTGCCGCCCCCTTTTGTTTCATTTCTGTTTATTTGGCTAATTTATGCTACGCCTTATTGCTTACTTTGCCGTCACGCCATAATGTTACGACTCGGCCGCAGCTTAGCTTTCTTAGCGGACTTTTGTTTGGCTTGGCTTTCTCCTCGTACAACGGGGCGTATGATTGTATGAATGTTGATTTCTGTGCGGGGCCCTTTGTCTTACAGCCTGGGTGTTTGGCCAGCGTCGAGCACTCATTATGATTCATTGTCGGTTGCAAAGGAGTCAAAAGGTAGAACGACTCAAAAGATTTATTGCCAGTGGGCCCATTAATGAAGTTCTTTAGTTGAGTTAATGTTTCAGCATTTAGACATGGCATGTCCGAGCCAAAAGGTTTGGCTCT